CCAACTGAAACTCCAGCGGCAGCGGCGGCGTCAGCAGCGAGCGCGGCTCACATTCCCACCACGGCCAAAAGAAGAAACACATCAGCTTCAACACCTTCGTCGAGCAGTGCATCGCCATCGAGAAACCGAAGAAGAACGCCTCTGGGTTCTTTGGTGCAGTCGACGAAGGGGCTTGGATGGGCAGTCGCCATGGTCTTGTAGATGACGATGGGTACGTCTCCGTTTCGCTTATTTTTAGGTCTGTAAAAGTTTCTCAATTCATCGTTGATTCTAGCTACGAAGAAGACCAAGAAGATTCAGAAGAGGAGGCGGCGGCTGCAGCGGCTGCAGCACAAGGCGTGGAGTGGCATCGAAGCAGTCATGGAGAGGAGGAGGGAGGAGGAGCTCTTGGGATTCGTAGCGATTCAGAAGAAGAGGACGAGGATGAGGACGAGGACGAAGAAGACGGAGTCATTGAGATGCGTTCATCAACAAGCTACCGGCCATCAAGCCACACGCCAAAGAAAAAACCATCTCATCGCTCGCAAAGCAAGGTGTCGACCACGTCATCGTCCTCATCTACCTCGACCGCCACGAGCTCGAGCAGCGCAAGCTCACATAGCACGTCCAACACCACTTCCTCACCCTCGGGCTCGCTCTCACCCTCACGGCGCACTTCCTCGTCCTCCTCGCACCTCAACCGCAAGTCCTCCGTCTCGTCCAGCGGGACGGCCGTCCCTTACGTCTCGTCTACCTCCACCTCGCCTTCTGGCACTCAGGCCCCCATCGATCCTTACGCTGCACGCGCATGGCGGACGGGAAATAGTAATACAAACAGCACGTATCGGCCGTCGGCCTACCGCCGACCGCCCCTCATACGCACACCATCTGACCAGCCTGTTCATGTCACGATCGCGCCGATCGCACCTACGATCCTCAAGACGACCGGGGCGTGGGCCGAGGGCTTTGGCGACGAGGGCGGGGCGAGCGATGACGGGTTCGCGGGGTGGGGGTGGGGCATTGGTGGTGCCAGTGGTGTCATTGGCGGAAGCGAGAAGGACAAGAAGGATCGGAAAAGAGGTGGAAATGCCAATGGAAGCGGGTATGGAAGCGGCGGCGGAGGTTCTGGCGGGTATAAGCCCGGCGCCTTCGGTACGGGAACTGGCAAAGGAGGAGGGTCGAGGTTCGACGACGTCGACGATGGCCAGATATCGGAAGGCACGCCCGTCGAGCTGGTGTATGTCCCGCCGTTTGGGAGCAACTACTCGCTTGGCCTGGGCGAATACGACGAACCCTTGGACGGACCTGGTACAGGCCCCCGCGGGTATCCGGGCTACGTCGACGACGATGCGGAAGAGGAAGACATCGAGGAAGAGCTGGGTGATGCGGTGTATCACCACCACCATACGGCCGGCGTCGATGGCATTGGCTTCGTTCCTGAACCTTCGTTCTCGCAGCCAATAACGATAGGCGGGAAGAACGTGCCTTCCGTCGTCATCAACACCTCTTCGAGCAATGTCAGCAGCAGTAGGAGGCGCCAACCGCAGGATATAGAGGAGGAGGAAGACCCTTACGACTTCTTTCGCGGGCCGGACTTTGGAGAGGATTACTATGCGCGGCGCGGTGGGCGAGGGTACAGTGCGTACGAGAGGAGTTCGGGTGCTGGGTCCACGTCTAGCTCGACGACGAAGACCTCTGACCGGGATCGCGCGGATCGGGACGTCAGGGCATCGGCAAGGCAGCGCGACCGAGAAAGGGAGAGGTGGGAGGTGGGCAACGGCGAGGAGCGCCAGTCGCGGAGTCGGAGTCGAAGCCACAGCCGCACGCCGTCGCCTGCCTTCGTCTCGTCGCCCATTGTCGAAGGAGGCGCTACTGCTCCTGCAAGCGCCAGCAGCAATCCCAACACGAACGCCAACGCCAATCCTAGTATAGGCGGTGGAGGGAGCAGCAGCAGCCTCGCCTCGAGCAGCCGGTGCACGGGGTCCGGATCTTCAGCCTTGGCCTCGAACCCGTCCTCGCGGCAAGGTTCCTCGTCTGACCTGCTCGCGCCGCCTTCACGTGGGCGCGAGCCGTCTTCTTCCAACGGCGCTCGCCCTCAACCGCAGCAACGCGGACGGTCAAGTACGCGGACGCCCTCTTCCTCGTCCTCCTCGTGGGAACGAGAAAGAGGTGCGAATGTAGGCAACAGTCCCATGGGGAGCTTGAGCCCCGACGGCGTGCCCCGCGCTGCGACAGGCGGCCCTGCGTCTCTGGGAGCGACCAGTGGGATCAGCGCAGGTATTGGTGCTGTGTTGGCTGGTAGTGGACGGGTGGAAAGGGGAGATCGGGACAGGGAGCGAGATAGCAGGGGAAGTGATAGGGAAAGAGGGCGGGAGAGGAGGGGCAGAGAGAGGACGAGTGGGAAGGTGCTTAGCGCGAGCGAGGCGGCCCTCTTGGGCGAATCTTCTGGGAGTTTGGGGCGAAGGAACGGTGCTGCTGGCGCTGTAGTAGCTCCAGCAGACCCTGCTCCTGTGAGCAACACCAGCCCCATAGGCCCTATCGCGATGGATGCCAGCTTCTCGTCGACGACCTCGACCTGCTCCAGCACGAGCAACAGCACGATCATGGGCCCGCCGACGGTCGTGCCCTCCTTGCAGGACGAGGAGGAGTACCCTGTCGGTTTGGCGCTCGATGACCAAGCCCAAAGTGCAGCTGAAGCCCAAGACGCGGAGGAGAGTGCCGAATTGCGATACATGCGCATGGCAGAGGAGGAGCTGAACAGGATCAGGACGATCCCGACGCCCTCGAATTCGCCTGTGCTGGAGATGAGGATGGTCGCGGCGGTATTTGTGCATGAGAACGGGAATGGTGGGTCGGGGAACAGTACGAGCCCCAGCAACAGCGCGAATACGAGCACTGGGACGACGACGCCAACGGGTAGCACAGCTACGGGCACGACCTCGCCGCCACCGCCTTCAGAGTTGTCTGGTGTCAAGGGCGTTGACAGTGTCGCTTCCAACGCGTCGAACCCGGTACTCAGCCCAACTCCGGTTGCTGGTGGGATCAGCGCCTCGCAGCCGAACCCCACATCTTCGACCTTGTCCTCCTCTGGATCCTCGCTTGCCCCATCGCCAGCACCAGCACCAGCACCAGCACCAGCGCCGCCTACCCCCAATTTTGCAGCTAGCCCCATCTTCCCCTCCAAGCTCCGCCCGCCGCCCCTAATACCCACCCCGCCGTTGCCTGCAAAGCCCAGCACGTCCTTCACTGCCGTCTCTTCCCCACGGACGCCTGGGAGCTCAGGTCTGACCAGTACGAATTCGAGGGGCCATGGCCACAGTCCGTCGCCGAGCATCGAGTCCATCTCCGCTGGCGCGAATACGCCGAGCACGCCGTCGACGATCGTGGGCAAGGCTGTCGACATGATGTCGAACGCTGGAGCGTATTTCAGGCTCTGGTCGCGCGAGAGTGCTGCTGCGTCTACGACGTCCACTCCCGCGTTATGAACGATAGCTCAGCATGGGTTCAGCGTTTAACCCGGGTCTTTTTTAAGCACCGGGACGAACAATGACCCTGATAGGCGATACGTGATATGAAAGGCATACTATGGCGTCGCAGCCTGGATCGACGCACACCACCTCCCTTCCTTTCTGTCTTCTTTCTTTTTCGTTGACCCCCTCTTTTCTTTGCACCCTTTCCCTTTGTTTTCCAGGCTGTCCGTCGCAATGGAGTGAAGCTTGCCGTCCTTTTCCTTATCTTCCTCAACCAACCTCCTACATCTGCCCCACCCCAACTCCACTTGCTGCTCCACGCCTACCCTCCTGCATGCAGTGGATAGACGGACTTCATACATCGCTCCATGATCACCCTTCAATAATCACATTTTACATTTCCTTTTCTCTTTTCCCTTGGTATCGAGTATTGGTTCTGACAGTGGTTGTTGGCATCATGTCTTTCTGTGTTACTTAGGCCTTTCATTTCTCACCTCGTTACTCATTTACATTTGTAACCTGCATTCGTCCCGATTCCTCATCCATCATCCATCAGATTCTGGCGTCTCTTTTCTTCCCTTTCTCCCCTTCCATTTTTCTGACTCCTTTATACTTAATGTTCCAAGTGTGCATCTGCATTCTACGCTACAGTATACTTACTAGCAAGTTGTGTCATCTCTCCGGCTGCTCACACTGTGTCATTATAAACTTATTCTCGACAAGCAATTGTATCTCTTTCTCTACGTTTCACTTAGTGCCGTGATCATTTCATCCAGAAAGCGTACTCGACATGGCGGATGGTTAAATAATAGCTGTTGGCTTCAATACTTAGCCTTGCGGGTCGCTTCCCTGCGCCTCCATAATTATCTGCCTCGTATTCTCTGACCTCGGAGTGATAACACTCGAAAGGAAGTGGGTGGCTAAATGAATGTCAAGGGAATTAGGTGAACGCCGTGCTAGGAGGGTTTCCACGAGCCGACTTACAGGGCTAATTCATCGCAGTACTTTCCTTCTGGGCAGACTTCGTTGCCGTCTGCATCTTTTGTTCTTTGGATGTTGAACAACGCGAGGACGGTGGCCACAGAGAGCCATATCTGGTTTGGAAGCTAAAGTCAGGCTTGAATATTACCGCAAGGGAACAAAGAATGGACGGACAGTGGCAGATGCCATATATCGACCAGGGCAAAGTCTGAAAGAGAGTGATCAAGATATTTTCCGCTTCAAGCATGAATAGCTGCGGACGTACCGTCTTCCAAACCCGAAAGCGTACGGAACCTCATCATCATTCAATTTGCTGTCGTTTCCAAAGAACCGATCAGGATTGAAGTCCTCTGGGCGGTCGTATTTCTGCGGGTTATGCGCCATCGCCCTGAAAGTTGTTCTCAGTCCACATATAAATAGCATATACCGGCCCATCATCAAACGCACCAGACGTTGGGAAAGAACGTCGCCCCTTTTGGTAAATAATACCCGTTATAGATGTCCTCCTCGGTTGAGGCATGCCAAACACCGAGTGGGGTCACTGGCCGCCACCGTAAGAGCTCCCTGACGAATGCTTCAATGAGTGGCAGAGATTCTCTATCGTCATAAGTTGGCATGCGACCGTTGCCGACGACTTTGTCGATTTCATCTTGCGCTTTCTTCTGAGCCTCGGGGAACATGGTCATCGCCAGGAAGAAGGTTTCGATGACCGAGACAGTCTGAAAGAATATAATGAGATGTTGGTAGCACGTATATTTTCTTGATGGAAACTGTGCACATACGGTGTCCGATCCACCTTTGCAAAAGCCGTAAGCCGTTAGCATTCGGTGACTTGAGAAAACCTGGCGTAGCTACCGGCGTAAGCAGTTGCAGCCACTGCTTCGATCACTTCATATTCCTCCTTAGATTTGCAGTCTTCCAGAATACTGGAAGATACACATGGCTGGGCAGTCCCGTCCGCCTATTTACGTGAGCCTTGAAACGAGGAAGGTGGGCTCCTGATACGAATCTCACCAAACGTTTCTCCAGCGCTTCAATTGGGACTGTAAGCATCTGATTGACGAGGTCCTGAACGCCCAGTGCGAATCGTTTAAACCCCGCCCCAGGAAACCAGGTCGGCAAATATTTGAGGATGGGGAAGGCGTTCACTGCGAGCGCTCCAGGAAAGACGGCTTCGCGGAGTTTCGCCAGCGCAGTCTCTGCCAAGGTGACGAAATAGTCGTTCTTGGGTGTGATGTCATGACCGTACATCGTGGACACGATGATTGCGGCGGTTACGCTATGTCAAAACATGATTTGATTGTTTGCAAGGTGAACATCCAATTCGTTTATTGAACTTACGTTTTAGCATGGGCGATGAAATCTTCGGGGGTGGTAAGGAGGCCGTAAAGCATGTCGTTGACCTTCCTGGTCTGAATTGGCTGATACTCAATGGACACCTCTCTTTTGAATAGCTGTTGGAAGAGTCGTCGGTGTTGGCGCCAGTCGTCCCCGTAGTGCTTCAGGGCTGAGTTGAAGTCCCATCCCATTCTGCAACATTCATGTTCAGATTCGTCCGGACGTAAAATTGAACGGAATCACTCACAAGTAAATCATTTCCAGGTGAGGCCGATCCGAGTATATGTTAGAACGTTTCTCGAACAGTTCTATGGCATCTTCGTAGGTATTGACCACAATTATGTGCTGCCCGAATATCCGGAGGTGGACAAGATTGCCTATAAGTCATTAAGCTCTCCACCTCAATATCGATATTCGCAAAAAGACGACATGCCATAAGTCTCCTTCCATTCAGTGCACTTCAGCCATATGGTCTGGGAGGGAAGATCGGCGAGATTTCCGGTAATTATGTTCTTTATCGGTGGGCCTGGAGGGTAGGGCGGCAGACCGTGTAATCTCTTCATCCATTTCACAACCCCCCAGATGGCGAGAAGAGAAGCGCCTGAAACGGAGAGCGTTAGTAGAGACGACGAGCGAAGGATAGTAGGCGACATCAGTGGTGAAAGGATACTGGTGATGCCGAGCGCCACACTGACAGAAGCTTGTAGGACAGAAGGCCTTGTGATAGGAATAATAAGCAGAGGACTCCGTGTCTATCAAGACTTCTGCCAGAAACTCAGCTGGACGAATATGTCGTCTCATGACCATTGTTTCGAACACGGACGCCGTTGGAATAGGCAATCAATGCAGTTTCATGGATCAATGGCTTCTCAGACCCTGCCGTGAAGCCCGAGCGAATGATGAAACAGACATTGCCCGCATTGACCGCGCTTTCTCAGCTTACCGGAAAGGCAAGGCTCGCCCACACCACATAGCAGAATAGTCTCAGGTTCGCTCTTGAAGCTTGAAGCTTGATGGGGTACCCGCGAACTTCGAAGCCTCTCGCATATACATGGTGCTTAAATCAGAATTTATTTCCGACGCAATTATTGAGGGCGCTTTCGCTTGTTGGAGGAAAAAGCTCCCCATAGCTCGCTGTCAAAGTTGGCAGATTTCTGGATTCTTCCCAGAGCGCCGACTCGAAAAAAAGCAGATCCCCAACGCACAACGCCTTCCTGCTTAATATATGCACACGCCTCGGCAGTCATCCGCCCTACTCTCATTCCTCTGAGGAGACCGACGCCTATGGTGAAATCTCACTATAGCATCTCCTCACCGATTTCCTCTATATGTTCACAACATCGGTGATCGGTGGATATGCAGCGTTACCTATAATAGTTACTTCCGCGCATCAGCTTTTTGGCTTTTTGCAGAGTATGGAATGGAATAGGCATAAGAGGAGACGTCCCCTGCATCCTAGTTGCTTTTTTTTAAAAATCGAAGTGAAAATTCTGAGCCATGTCGACCCCCCGAAACAAGTTTCTACTCCCGGAGGCCTGGGGGGTTGATGGCGACGCTACAAACGCTCATTTGATGTCCATACCGCATAACAAAGAAGTGCAGTGATCTGTTACCGCGATTTGGTATTTGTGGCGCATGTACATTGCAAATTCTTTTTCTGACCGGGTACGTGCCCCTCACTTCGCACTTTGCTGTCGCGTTTGACGGGACGCTCGATCGATCACGGTAGGCAGCAGGCGAAACGAAGCGTGAACTCACAATCCGGCTCCAGGGCCCTACATGGTCAATGCAAGAAATTAATCACTGTCGACAATTGGACGTCATTTTTATCTCATGCATCATGGCCGTTTTTCTTAGCTGTCAATAGAACACGTGGTGGAGGATCAATCGATCATGTCCTAAAGCTCACTGCCGCCAAGCTCAAGCTCCGAGAAGTAAAAGGATCATCGGGGACTTGCAGCGCCTTATGTATTTCAGAGCTGCTCCGCGTACACAGATTCCCTATGATCACCCAATTCAAGGACCTTAGCAATGAGACCACACTCGATTTAGTAATGTCGGACACTTACCTGGGTCGTTTCGATATCGGATCCAGGACAGGCAAAGGCTTCAAAAATTTGCATCTGAATGTGCTTCTTGCGCTGTAATCATCAGAAATAGATCCTTACATAAACTGAATGCAGTATTCTCGCTTGACTCTAGGTATATTTTTCTCATAAGCAGGGATAGTTCCTACCGTACAGTAACGGGCCAATCATGAATTCTGGTACATGGAGTTGCTACGGACGCCAGAACGAACGTTTGAACCATGTTCAAGTTGCCGGACATTCCCGGCGGACTTCCCATCAAGCTGGCCATGGTGGGTCGTGCCAGACTTGCGGCCTCCTCTCCACCTCCACATCCTCGCATTGTCGCAATCTGGGGTTACACGTTTTGGGGGGTTTCGTTTCCTCCCTGACGTAGACATATGCACTCATATATGACAGGAACTCGATCGGAAAAGCTTTCCGCGACCCTCGCTATCTCTTGCTGTTGATGTAGGAGACACGCGAGGGCCTCGTTGCGTCCACGATCCCAGGTATCGTTTGCCATGAGATTATTGTGGCTGCTTCTTCGAGGTCCTCCCCTTGCGAAGGTGCGCCCGTTATGTATTCAAATGGTATGCGTCAAGGTCGTTCTCTGCGCTAGCCTCATCTATGTAGCCAGGTCATCTCAACTTTGCATTCGAAAACCATATAAAGTCAAGATGAAATCGGAAATAGAAGTATGTAAGGGACACATTTTCAATTAAGCTTTCGTATGGTGGTCAGCTGCCAGTGCTTGGAAATTTCCGTCATTTACGAGGCATGTCGAAGTGTTCAACCTGCCTTGGCTACAGGGTTTTCCTTTGTGGGTTATCTTCCAGGCTATCCGATATAATTTTCGTCGCCTTGTCCGACCTTGGGGTTATGACGCAGTCGAAGGCGACGGGGTGGCTAGGGTATACGGCATCAGAGACACGATTGGAAGAGCAAAGACCTAGGGACATCAATTACACAACCAGACCTCCCCAGTATTCTCCTGATGGGCATATTTCAGCTCCAGAGGCATCTCGTTTTTTCTGAATGTCGAAAAGTGCAAGAGTTGTAGCCATGGAAAGCCAAACCTGGGAATTCATCAACTTCAGCGAACGAGAACCTGTAAGGAGCTGACCGTGGCAGAAGCCATATGTCGGCCGGGACAGACTCTGAGCGGCGTTGGGGGTATTCAACGGAGATAAACGAGTGGATAAAAACGTACGGTACGCACCTTCTCCCAAACCCAAAGGCATACCCAACGTCATCGTCGTTTAGCGTCCAGTCGCTTTGAAGGAAGCGCTGCGGTTCAAAGACATCAGGGCGATCATATCTGAGCGGGTCGTGCGCCATCCCCCTATTAAGGAATTGTTAGTCTTAAATTATGTGCATGCAAACGAGTAGGCAGAAAGCCTCGGGCAGACCAAACATTAGGCAAGACGTGAGTACCTGTCGAGATAGCCCGTCAATAACGTTTCCTATTAGTTCCAACACAGACAGGTGTCTAGCCACGACGCACTCTTTGGTATATAGTACCCTTTATAGATATCCTCCTCGCTCGCGGCATGAGAAACTCCCAGAGGCAGCACAGGCCTCCAGCGCAGTATCTCTCGGAACAGGGCCTCTACGTATGGCAGCAGGGTCCGATCCTCGAAGGTGGGCATGCGGTCGTTACCAATGGTTGCGTCGATCTCCTCTTGGGCTTTCTTTTGCGCCTCGGGGAACATAGTCATCGCCAACATGAACGTCTCGATGGCGGAAACAGTCTGTGAGAAGGTTGCAGTTCAGACGACGAATATAGCTTGACAGCATTCTTAGCGCACTGTGTCCGCCCCAGCTTTCAATTCGACGCGTAATCATAAGGCTCTGGACAACGCAAAATTCGGACGGCATACCTGCATATGCAGTGGCCGCTACGTGTTTTATGGTTTCATACGTTTCTGGATCTCGTGAGTCGTCGCTTTCCAGAAGGGTAGCAACTGCACATGAGACTGATGTTCCATCCGTCTAACGAATTAGTCGCACGTGTGATTTAGGACAACGATGGCACGACGGCGTGAAGGGAGGAAACACACATACTATGCGCTTCTCGACGGATTCGATCGGTACGGCGAGCATCTGGTCAGTCAGCTCCTTCGCTCCTCTCGCGAAGCGCTTGAATCCAGCACCTGGGAACCATTCGGGTAAAAAACGAAGGATGGGAAGAGCGTTGACGGCCAATGCGCCAGGAAAGACGGACTCGGACAATTTCGACACGGCCGCCTCTGCGAGCCCGACGAAATAGTCCCCCTTCGGTTCGATGTCAAGGTCATACATCGCAGATACGACAATCGCAGCGGCTACTCTGAAAAAGCAAATTATTCGTTGTCAAAAGCCATTTTTTCGATCAAGCTGAAAACAGTCATATTTGCGTACGTTCTGACATGAGCCAAGAAGTCTTCGGGGGTGGTAAGGAGGCCGTAAAGCAAGTCGTTAACCTTCCTGGTTTGAATGGACCGATACACTAATGACTCTTCTCGTTTGAATAGATGTTGGAGGATACGCCTGTGTTGCCGCCATTCGTCGCCGTAGGGTTTCAGGCCAGAATTGAAGTCCCATCCCATTCTGTGAAAGTGACAATCAGACCAATGAGAAAAAAATGCACAAAGAGATAACAGACTCCAGAAATCTCACAAGTCAACCATAGTATTATGAGGCCGGTCAGAGTAGATGTTCGAGCGCTTTTCAAAGAATTCGATAGCCTCATTGACGGAATTCAGAACGACGACATGTTGTCCGTATACGCGGAAATGAACGACGTTTCCTAGAAGATTTCATTAACAAGAGGAGCCAACAGAATAAAGCGGGAGAGGGACCATAGGCCTCTTTCCATTCCATGTATTTCAGCCACGGTGCATCGGTGGGGATGTCGACGAGATTTCAAATAGGTTCTTCGCTGTAGGGCCTGGTGGGTAGGGTAAACGAGGCAATGATGTCCTCCAGCACTTTACGGGGCCCCAGATTGCTAGAGAAGCAGCAAGACCAGTCGAGAGCGTGAGCAGAACAGAAGACGAGAGCATGGTCTCTGACCCGAATGTGGATAAGTATATGAACTTATAGCAGGATGTCGCCAACCCTCCAGGTGAGGGAATGTATTGCGCCAACAGAATCTGGGGGCTGGGGGCGTCTCATGATCACTGTGGTGTACACGACTGTCATTGGAACCAATGTAAGGAGGCGTGAGGCGTGGGCATTTGTCACTTCTTTTCTGACATTAGATTCTCGAAAGAGACCCCCTGACACGTACACGCCCTGGACTCTTTTGAGCTCATAGATAGTAAGAAGTTCAGCATGGTGTCGTACCTTGTGTTTGTGGCGCAGAACAAAGCCGAGGGAACTGTGAAGTCGAGCTTGGGTTCGTTGCATGATTTGACATAGGTAAGACGTGGACGTAAGGGCGTGAGCAGAATAAATTAGCAAGTATGGTAGACTTCTCGTAGCAGTATCGTGTCCTGGCAGTCCTTTCGTCTGTGCATCGCCATCATGAACCATCTCTCATGGACGTAGCATTATTCGTCGTCCTGGATTCTACATATCCATCGAGCTCATATGCCGGTGGTGGGCTCAATACATGAGAGATAGGGTGAGGTCTGGACGGATTCTCCTCCTCCCTCCTGGACTCCTGCTCTTCCTCGTTGAGCCTCTTCGGACTCGCTTTCGGGCTCTTGATCTTTTTCTGCTTCTGGGCCTTCTTGATGGCCTGCTCTGCCGCGTGGTCGCGCTCCTGCTGTAGCAGAGCTTTGCGCATGCTGTAGAGGACACCGAGGTCAATGAGGTGGCAGACGATGGCAACAACGGTGAGCCAAATCTAATAGGAGAACCATGGCATCAGAATCGCAATCAAGAAAAGCGAAAGTAACACAGGAAACAGGGTTTGAAAAGGAAAAGTACAGACGGTGTTGCCCCAATAGAATGACAGGCTGCTGTCTGTTCTCCGGATATTGTTCACCCTCACTTTCGCTGTCGCAATCACAGAGATCTGCACAAGGAATGCGACGAGGACAAGGAGGGTCGTGAACGCGTTGTAGCAAAAGATCCAAGTGACCCCCCGTGCAGAGACACCGATCTGCATGCTTCGTGTGCGATTGGAGAGGTGGATGGTAGACTGGAGCACACACGAGAACGCGCTAAGGGCTGTCACTGAGCAGGGAGGTGAGTACGAAGGGTCGAGAGGGGGGATGTGGCGCACCGATTGGATAGAGCACAAGAAGACCTGTATGGGCTCTGGAGTATAGGCCATCTAGTCCTGGGGCGTCCCTGTAACTTAATTAGCTTATGACGAGGCTGGAGTAAGGGACTCACAGAGCAGCGGCAACAATGCTATCTAACGAGAATCTAACTCTGGTTTTCGAGCAGCCTTCCACAACGTTGGCGTCAAATGTGAACGAGCTGTATCCAAGTCTGGGCCATCTTCAGCTCCACCTCGCGGCACCGTGGAGAAAAGCCAGCACTCACAGTCTGATAGGCTCGACACAGTATCCCCATAGTCCCACGTCTACATAGCGAACTGCGCCTGTCTGCCAGTAGCTCAGCCGATACGTCCTCATCGAGGCCACGACCGGAGACGAAATGCAAGTGAAAAGCAGCATGAGTGTCGCTGCACCGAGCAGGACAGCCGCTGCGAGGTTGGAGTCTGCCTTCGCCGTGTTGACTCTAATCATGACAGGTGGTGCTGCTCGATACGGGGATTGGAGGTCGTGGGCGGTCGCAAAGGGGAAAAAAAGGAGGCGGAGAAGTTGAATGGTGCCTTTTTATGTGAGAGCATGACATGGAAGATCAGGTACACTTCGAAGCGTGCATTCCACTCGTCGGGATGCACAACGTCGAGGGTCTCTTCCAAATGCAGTTCCTGACGGAGCAGTCTCAAAAATTATTTCAACCGTCCGTGTTGAACACGATGAGCGACGGAGTGAAGATAAGGGTATTACCTTATGTAATGCATGCAACTGATCTTACTGCTCCAACCCCAAATCGCATAAAGACCTCCGCATCTCAATAGAAACTAGAAACTGGTTGCCTGTCACCACCACCATAGGTAAATCTTCGATCTTCATTTCACTTTTGCCTTTGACAAATACTGGACGAAGTCCTCGATGTACTGATATACCAGATGGAACCCGATGTAATTCGTGACGCCGACAGTCCCTTTGGCCCCTCCGCGCGTGCCGATATCATCCTGCGATCATCCGATAAGGTTGATTTCTACGCCTTGAAGGCGTTTCTGAGCTATTCTTCATCCTTCTTCGATGATATGTTCTCCCTTCCATCGCCGGAGAGCAGCTCTGATGACCAGTTAAGCAAAGGTGGCTTGCCGGTCATCGAAATGCAAGAGAAGAGCAGACCGATCCGATTTTTGTTGTGCCTTTGCTATCCCAATAGCCATCTATATCTCGACGATATACTCGAAATCGACGACATCGTGCAGACCATGTTCGCTGCAGAGAAATACGCCGCTGACGCGACTGGGACATACCTCTGCAAGAAACTTACCCAATGCCCTGAAATGATTCAGAACCCCCTCCGAGTTTTTGCTATTGCATTCAGGTTTGGTTGGGACGACATCTGCCGGCAAGCCGCCAAAAACACGCTATCGAAGGCCCCAGATTTTTGGCCATTCTCCAATGAATTGGTCTACGTGACAGGGGTGGAGATGTATCGTCTGAGCCAATATCGCAAGAAATGCGCTGAACGACTCATAACCTCGGACAAGCTCCGTCAGCTGTTGTTCGACGACGGCAGGAAAAACTACATTTGGTGGGGGCGCGAGAATCATCATTGGGAATGTGGCCAAACTGTCAGTATCAACGCTTTCGTCGACGCGAACACACATCTCGTGGTACAGCGGTTCAATGCTGGCTGGTGGGAGCAATATCGGGACGGCCTTCTCCATCGGTTGAAGGCATGCCCAAGAGGAACAACGGCGCTTGATGATAAGCTCCTGAACAACGCGATACAAAAGTCAAAATCGTGTCCTGCATGCAACACCCTTCAGTGTCAGTCAGACCTCTATAATTTGAGATGAGATATTGTGACAACGGTCGACGAAATTGTTTCTGAAGTACGCACACTTCGTCTTCTTTTGTTTGAACGTCGCTTATACCGAGCCTAGGTTGAGCTGGAGATAAAGGTAGGATAGGCAGTATAGCGAAGAGTAATGGCACCGGAAAGGATCTAAACACAGTAGCCTAGTCTACTAGCTAAACTTGAAATTATGTCTAACCTGCCGAGCACAGTGCACACAATCCTCTCGAATACATAGACTGCCTTTTAGAATTTAACATAGTGAAGATCAACTAACCATCCATACGCAACTCACACCTTGAACAGGAGCTCTACAGCCACCTCGGCGACGCTCCCTCACGTTCTAGCGTCCCCGAGGACGTCACCTCTTTCCTTCGTTTCCCTCGGCTGAGGAACGGGCTACCATCCTGCTCTCGAATATAATACGCCCAGTCAGCCGTTAGGTCAGTTTCGGTCTGCGAGAACCCATTGCCGAGGAAGGTAAACCGATTGCCCATGTACTTGATATCCCAGTCCTCGAACCGCGGTTCAGCCATGGCTTCGAGATAGTGCAAGGTGCTGCCGGGCCACAACGCGACATTTTTGCCAGAGCCTCCCTTCTTGTACCACGACTTACAACCCTGCTCCCACACGGTCTGCTTCATGAAGTTATCTTTGAACGCGACGAAGTCTTCGACGGCCTCTGCCTTCGGGGAGAAGCTGTGTATGTTTTCCGTCTGCCAACGATCAATCATTTTGAGGATATAGTCGGCTTGAGCCTCTATAAACGTATCCGAGCGTTAGATCATGGGATACTCGTCATAAGTATGTGAATGCATACTTACCGATGCCAATAAGCACAGGTCCGTTCCCGACTGGGCTGTTCGGTCCCAGGAATGTGAAATAATTTGGGAAACCGTGGGCAGCAATTCCGAAGTACGCCTTGGGTTCTTCAGCCCAAACATCAGCCAAGTTCTTATCGTTCAGACCTATCAGAGGGAAACGCGGCTGGTAGGACGTGTCAAATCCGGTCGCGCATACCAACACATCGACGGGGTATTCTTGGCCATCACAGACACATCCTCTCTCCGTGACTTCTTGGATCCCTCCAAAGGCCACTTGGACTTTCTCACTCACAAGCGTTTCGAGGTAACCGGGCCCTGGGGTTATCCGACGACATCCAACGGCCCACTTCGGAATGACAAGTTGTGCGAGGGCCTCGTCGTCGAGTTTGTCCTTCATCATCTGAGCCATTCCGTCGTACACGCTCTTCTGTATGTCCGAGTCCGCGATGAACATAGGGAACACGTTGTTGAGCGAGCTCTCCAGCATCTTGCGATATCGAAGGAGAGCACCAGGGCTCGTTTCAAATTCTCGGCGTTCTTCCTCCGTGTAAACGTGTTGGATTATGTTATGGCTTGGAGATACCCAAGTAGGTGAACGGATGAAAGTTGTGACCTTGCTGACAATGGGATGGATCGCAGGAAGAACTTGGATGCCGGATGACCTGCACATTTCGTTAGACGGAGTTACGCTGAGAGCGAAAAACCGGGACGCACCCATTCCCGATCAGACCGACGTGTTGTCCGGTCAGATTGATGCTCGAATCCCACTTCGCAGTGTGGAGTAATGGTCCTTTATACTTCTCCAGGCCTGGTATGTCTGGCCAACGCCACGCGTTCAAGATACCACACCCGTTAACAAGGATATCACACGAGTCATGCACGGTTTTCCCATTCTTGAGGTCGGTGATTTCGAGGTCCCATTTCGCCATTGTGTCATTCCAACAGGCCTTGGTCACTTGATGATTGAACTTGCAGAACTTTTCGAGGTTATATTTTTGCATGAAAGATTTAAAGTAATTGAAGATTTCATCTGACCCGGCGTAGACTGACGACCACGTCGTGCTGGGCTCGAAACTCCAGGTGTAAGTGTGTGACGCAACGTCGCAGGCGCACCTATACGAGTTAAAACGGTTGACAAATGGTCCAATCGTTACGAAGGCCCGAATGTGCTTACCCAGGGTATTTGTTCTCGTACCAGGTCCCAGAGACAATAGGGTTTTTCTCGTAGAGAATCAACTCGAAATTTTCGAAGGAGCGCTGGAGTTTGTAAGCCAAAAGGAGACCAGAGGCGCCAGCTCCAATGCAGACGACTTTCAGGTGGCGTTCATGGTGTATCGGCTTATGGAGCAGAGGGTGGTCAACTAGTGGGGTTCTAGGATTGCTGGGCATGTTGGGTGTTTGAGCCGCAAGCTTTAGGGAAGAGGTGGTGCTTTCGCCTTGATAGATATACCACTCCCAAGGGCCCCTCCGGCAGGCGTTTGGAATGACCGGTGTAATGTCAATTCGACGCTGAGAAGGACAAATGACATAACATGTGCTTGCTCTCCTGTGCAATTGATACCTGTCCCGCCGACTTAACGGAGATTGAAGAACAGCTTGGTGACAATCTGTGAGAGCGTCCGCAGCGCGTGACTTACTGGGAGGAATCGAAGTACATCATGGGCAAAGCTGGAATTAGAACTTGGAACGATCATTTGCAATCTCAAGTACGAGTCTGTAGGTTTGCTGTTCTGTTCGGGTAATTGGCACATGCTGACGCTAGGAGAACATGAGTTTTCGGGCGCTTCCAGTCAAGATATCAAAGACGTACGCAGGAGAAAGGACCCGAGGGAGGTAATGTACAGCTTGGAGGGCCCAAACTTTCACGCTGACTCGGATGTCGACGTCTACGCCCAGTCGCTGCAAGGACAGTAGAAACTTGGAAGGTCGATGAGGTAGTGGGATCTCGTTACATTTCAGTGTAGATTGCACAGTTGGGGAGTTCCATCGTGCAGACCATCCAGCATCGACGTGCCGATGAGGCAACTGTTCTAATTTCTCGCTCTCCAGCAGCGACCATCTCGACAGGGTGAACTTGAATGACATGAATGCACCGGGAAATCGCAACTCAACAAGCGGGGAAATTCTGCCAGTTCAACTCCATTTCTTTGAAGGGGTGCCAACCAACTTGAATTGCGACGACATGCAACGCTGCGATGAATAGTAGGGAGATAATGGTGAGAACCGCAGGAGTCGATCCGAATATTGAACACTTACGAGAAAGTTGCCACGAACATGTACAACTCTATTGAACAAGATACAGTGTGAGACGCTGCTGTTGGAAAAGAGAATCGGTAGGTAGCAGGCATTGGCCCACCGGTATACAAGTAACGATGTGACGGCACGGCGGGCCGGTACCCAGGTCCAGACCGTGCGCGTGACTCCCTAACTGATGGATGCAGACTCAGACTGTGAACGGCGGAGGCAAGAGCTTCCAATACTCTGCGCGACTTTCTGTTGGTTTACAGTGCTCCGAGACACCACCTCTGTCTAAAGCAGCACCCCGAACGTTGATTGACATGTATTCGGAGACCATGCACTGCGATCTTCAAATTCGACTCCGGTGGCCACACTGGCAGGCGGAGGTGGCCCGAGTGGCTACAGGCGTCCCTTCCTGAACACCCGCCGATCTGGAGAGCAATTCGCAAAAAGAAAGGAAGGCCAGTGTTGAACGTTGACGTCGAACGTTCAAGCTTCAATTCGTTTCAATGAACTCATTGCAGGGTCAATCAACCCTACCTCAACGTCACCCGTTTGTTCTCAGTTCCCGTCCACATCTTTGCAGGAACAACATACGTTCTGTCAGAATTTCAGTACGATGGCAACGGACCAACAGCCTTCTATCCGAGCCTGCAAGGTTGATATCTGTCGTGCTATAAACTGGGGCACTCTGAGCGCAGCCTTTCCTTCGGTCCCCCATCTAGCCGAAGCTCCCCAAGAAGTCCCACCCGGTCCCTAGCCCTCAAAAATGCCAGGCTTAGGTCTTACTCTTGGTACGAAAACTATCTTTCTAACTCTGGAGGAAGATCGCCTATCAATTTCCAATATGTGCTATAGGTGCAGTCGCCCTTGGAATTTTTTGTGCGTCTAACCATACCAAATGCGACATTAAACTGAAATGGTGTCCTCGGCAGTAAACACCTATCTATATGGGATCGTAAGCTACCAATACATGGCATACGCAAATACAAGTGAGTTTCCGCCAATGCTCCTCTGAATCTGATACTAGAGCCGTTTAGAATTCGGCGATCCTTACTGGATTAAGTGTGTCTAAGCCCTCCTTGAGCCGTAGCGATCTCATATATATATTCCGGCACAGGTCCATCGTCCTCGTACTTTTCCTAATCGACACAGCTCATAGCGCATCGTGAGCAAAGCTTCCGGTCCCCTCTCTATAATGCTGATGGCATAGGAAATTCTCCGTAGGCTGATACATATGGCGTGGTATTACATGTGGGTGTACTGGCTAATATCTCTTCCATGTCATGACACCTAGCATCCACAGGATCGCCCATTTCGGGGATTTCAACACGTTAGCAGGTATGACCGTATACTTCCAATCGAACTCGCCTACGCAGATTTACATGGATACCTGCTAGACGCCATCTGGGTTTACCCATTTACCGCGATCGTTACCTCCTTCGTAGCTTGTTTGACCCAGCTGTTCTTGGGCTTTCGGTGAGTCATTAATCAGCCATTTCCCCGCATACCCTCGCTGATCCATTGGTATAGTATCTGGCGCCTCACAAAAAATTCTTTCATATACGGTTTTATTGCCGTTATCGCAGTCTCTTCGCTTGCTCTTGGAGTGACGTGTACGGTCAAAGCGTCGTCCATGACGAGGTGAGTTGATTCGTGCCCATTTGGTCAAGTTTCCCACCTGGCAAGCATTCATTAGCGTTCTCCAATTCCGAACGATCGATAAATTCATGGCCGCTTGGCTGTCCACGGAGGTGGCAGCAGACGTTATCATTTCAAGTGAGTTTACCTCCCGTTTTCTAACTGTGCCAAGCTAGTGTACGAATTAAAAGATTGTAGCGGCTCTCATTCACGCTCTTCTCCGTTCTCGCACTGGCTTTCAAACCTCCGACACGGTCATCAACCATCTCATGCGCACGGCCGTCCAAACCGGTAGGTTTACATACCTCTTCTCCCTCCGACACCTTTGTCGGCTCTGACATTGTCCAATACAGGTGCCCTCTGTGGTATATTTTCAACGCTTACGCTGGTTATGTTCCTGGCAACGCCCGAAACCCAACTCTTCGGCTTATTCGGGCTGCCTATGAGCCGTTTGTACAGCACCGTGAGTAGTTCCTCTTCCTGAGAGCAAACTCCTTCATCTTATCCTATGCCCTCGCGACTGCCGATCGAAGACTCTCATGGACACGCTCTTGTGTCGCAAATACTTGCGTGGGCTGTTCGGCCAGCAAAGAGAGGCGGTCAGTGTTTTATTAAATCTCTCTTTATTGCGGATGGCTGATCCGACATTTGCATTACTTACTAGATGAAAACCTTCTCACGCGGTGGTCTCCGCTTGCAGGTTCTCAAGGAGATCGAGACGGAGCTGAAATTTGACGACGCTGCGGAGTCGAGCCAAACTGCCTACAGCAAAGGACATCGCAGTTTCGAACAATGATCTTTGTCAACATCAACTGGGTCATGCCGGCGATTCGCTGCTCCCTGAATCAGTCAGACTCGAATCTTGTCAATAGAATAGACTTACAACGTAACGTCCAGGTTGCTTATTTAAAAAGGTTAAGATAGGTCAAGATGGAACGGGTTATGCGAGTAGATCAACGTCTTTATATTCCACAAACGCTTGCTTAAATCACACCAGGGATATTAATGCCCCTCAACGCCATAAATAAGCGCCTGTAGGCTTATTTGGGAATAGCTTCGTGCCCGGGAATCTCCTATCGCCCACAGTATCAAAGCCGAGCTACTGTTGTTCCCTGGCCATCACCATCGGCCTCGTTATACAGTGACGATTACCAGTATTGGTTCCCCCACTTCGACGACGATGGACGGCTCACCACAGATCACCATCGCCGACGCGCCATTCGATTCGCCTAAGAAGGCGGATGTCATCCTCCGATCTTCCGATAACGTCGATTTCTACGTTATGAAGGCACTTCTAGCGTTCTCTTCCCCCATTTTTCGCGATATGTTCTTCCTCCCTCAGCCTCAGCACGACCGTGCCTCCTTCCGATCCACAGATAACCCACCCCTCGACATCGTTGCCATACAATATGAGAGCGCCCCGTTACAAAACGTCCTGCTCCTTTGCTACCCACAAATTGGGCCTGGGATGCAGCCCAAGCTCACAAGCGACGATATCATCGAAGCATATATCATCGCAGAGAAGTACGACATGGAAACGGTGATCCAGCTACTGGAGGATGCCCTCTCGACGATCCCCCCGAAGTTCATACGCGACCCTCTTAGGATGCTCGCAATCGCGGTACAACACGGTTGGGTGAGAATAGGCAGATTGGCCGCGAAAGGAACACTCGCAATCCCTTGGAAAGACCTCCCGTTTTCCATAGAGCTCTCCTATCTCACAGGAGTAGATTTCTGGATTTCTGGCACCTTCTCGACTACCGGAACCATTGTTTTGCCGCGACTTTAGCTTGGTTCAGAGCAGATGATGGCAAGGCCAATGGTCAAAGAGTACTTTGGAAACCAGCCGACAACGAAGAATACCTCGCAGCCCTCTCCGGATCCGTAAAAATCGAATAATAATTTCGTCAGGAAGGAGATGGTGGACAGATTACTTGGTACAGGTATTGAGACATCTTGATGAATCCCCCTCTCCATCTGTTATCCTCGACAATCGAATCTCAGATCCTGGAATTTCTGCAGCTCAAGACAATAAAATTCATGAGATAAAGGCATTTTTTAATTCTGGCACTGACGTCATTTAAATAAGGTACCCTTAAACATTGACTTTACTCGCAACAAGTAGAGTCGCATCTACCTCCTTTGGAATAGTTGCTTGCCTGTCTAATATATATGTCTAATAATTATGGTCGCGATACGAAACGAGTCGGGAGATTGAAGGATAGAAAACGGGGTCCTTGTGGTTTTTTCAGTCGCTTTGGACAAAACATTCAGTTTTTTCCGATGAAACCAATTTTCACCGGGCTCAGGCTGCTAGTGCGTGGCTACTGTTCTGTAGAATACCAACGTCCTGAATATAATCAAGGCGGCTGCACCGAGGCTGAGCACTCTCGTGTGAATGGTTGAAGACTGGTCGGGCCGGATGTCCAAATTAGCTCCGGAAATAGGCGCCCAACGCCTAATTGAGAAAGCGCCTCGTGCCAGCTCGATCGTGCCGCTGTCAATAGGACCATCAGGACTCGCCCACAATGGACCGCTCTTCCTTGTCAGAAGCCATCGATCCTGTCGTATACCACTGGATCATACCTCCCAGTTTCCAGCAATCAGCAATCAGTCCTCACCACCCTACCACCACCACCACCACCTTCACACCCACGCGATGACGATGGACGGCTCCCCACAGCCCACCACTGCTGAGGCCCCTTCGACTCGGAGGAGAGGGCCGACGTCCTCAGATCGTCCGATAAGGTCGATTTCTACGTCCTGAAGGCCTTCCTCGCCTTCTCTTCCCCCGTACTGCGAGACAAATTCGCGGAGAGCCCCAGATCGCGCTCGTCATCATCCACCCCACGTAAATCGCATCCAATCTTCAGCGTAAAACCAGAGAGCTGGGTGTTGAGGAATATGCTACTTTTCTGCTATCCAGCCGAGGCTAGAAAACGCGGATGAGATCATTGCAGCTTACGCGGTCGCTGAAGATTTCAAGATGGACGCCATCATGAAGCAGCTCGAGGAAATGCTATTGGCGTCGAAAGCAATAAAGGAGGAGCCGCTCCGCATTTTGGCTATTGCAATTCAAATGGGGTGGGAGAAAGTTGGCAAGTTGGCCGCAAAGAACACCCTCAGCATTCCTTTTGGAAGACTTCCGTTCTCAAACGAACTCAACACTATCACAGGAGCAGATATTTGGAACCTCCAGGATTACCGCCAGAGTTGTGCACATGCCATTCATGCATGGTTCCATAGGAACAATATCGGAGGAGGCAGGCCCTGGCGACCAGCTGGTGTGTGCAAGAAATCCTTCGTGCGACCTTAACCGGATGAGAATAGGGTCCCAATTGCTTGCGAAATATCTCCCAGAATTATCGGAACCTGGAGAGTACGGTGATCATGTACCGCAACTAAAACCTAGAAAACAAACTGAATGCTTGAACGACCACACCTCCGAGTCCGACACCCGGTTCTGCTGGAAGGAAGGTCCCTGGATGGAATCGGTCAATCAGAGCTAGTTACTTATCTAACATTAACCTGGCGCTAACCAGGGTACGCCGTCACGGACTCAAGGGCCCATCGCACCTTCGAGTGATTCATCACCAATCCAACAGAATATTATTCACCCGGTGTACCACTCCTGGCTCATTGTTGCGCCGTTTCTACTCTGCGAAATGATGAAGCGAGCTGGGTTAGACGATAAATCGATAAGGATTTGCCCGAATGTGGCGCCATCTTGGAGTGTTTGAGGAGGGCGCCATCATCACCGAGTAAATCCCATCAATACTGGCCAATGACCATTTTCGGCGACTGAGTCTGAGAGCCAAATGTCCTGAGAGTGCGAAATATGTCGTCCAAGTGCAAACCGTTGGGAGAACTTGGTACAAGTGCATAAAAATGATAGTGGATGGCGAAGACTGGCGGAAAGATTGGACGTTTTCGAAGCCGGGCGGTGAGGGCGGTAAATTAGTGACTGCGAAGTTCCCGGATGCCCGACAATGCATGGTACCGGAGGTCGATGGTCGGTTTCACTTTGAATCGGAGCGGTGGGCGGCTTCCGACTGTATCCGTTAACTACTCCTTGCGTGTTATTTTTCTCTTCGCAATCGGTAGGAGACAAGGCGGCGAGTGCCAATCTTGCAGAGAGAAAATCGGAATGGCTGAGGGTGTCGCTCCATCCTTTTATATGCGCCGTTCCGACCTTGCAAGGTTCAGTTCTATTGCCTTATGCCGTCTTGACCTTGGATCTGCCCCTGAATCTGCGCTGAATATGATATCGTCGACCTTGCAAGGTGATGATATCTAGCTCATGTTATGACGTACCGTTCGTTTTCGGTGCATCTCATGATAAGCCAAGAGTAAAGAAGGGATGGGATGGCCATAGGATTAGCAGAAGCGATCTCGCATAAGGTACAAAGGTTTGGACATTGTTGATGTTCGATGCATTGAAGCGAGTCAAGATCAGTCGGAGCGGTCAGCAGCTCAAAGGAAGGTCCATATCGAAGGGCTGTATTTGGACGGTATGAGTGACAGAGGCCCATCAACCTGCAGGTTCTTTTGTGTCGCAAGGCATTGCAGGGACCGTGCAATCGTCCAAAGAAGGCGAGGTTGAGACAATAGGCCCCGTTGGGTAGCACGAGCTGCGGCTCGTCCAGGTTCGCTCCTTCCAAATGTGCTGATGGGGGCGTAATTCAGCCTGCGGTGTGCAGCAGCAGCAGTCTTGCCTTGCGTTTTGGGAGCCCAGCAAGCGTGCAATCCACGTAACAACCGGACCGAGAGGAAGATATGAAGTGGTTTTTGGCAATCCGATAGTGTCGCAGGTGGTTGTTGCTGGAGAAAAAATGGATGAGTATCAGGCCACCTACTCGTGGTTTTGATGCTGGGCGGGGTAGACGGGATCTTGTGGAGTGCCGTAAGCTTTTCCGACCAAGATTGTAGAAAAAGGAGGGTGGAACGACACTAGAATTTGGAAGGAGGGACTATGTTTGGCGGCTCATTGACAGTCGGGTGGATTAGACGAGCGAGAAGAAACAGGGCGACGCTGCCTGGTGGTGGTCTGAGGCTCTGAGCAAAGAGATTGGGTGGTCGATTGATCGCATATCCCCGAATCGTACCACATTTATTTTCATCCGGTTGCCTCTTATTTTCCTCAGCCCATCGTGTTTCCTATATAACATACCCGCTTTTTGTGCCTTCTCCATTCTCTCCTTCACCCTCCTCCAAGACTCTCCCAGCGACCATCATGACCGTCCCCATCACCGCCCCCGCTGCTGACTTCGACGTCCCGCGTCCCAAGGACGTCGGTGTCCTCGCCATGGAGGTCTACTTCCCCCGTCGCGTGCGTCTCCTCTTCTTATAACATCGTCAGCGACGTGTATTCACTACGGAACTTTTCACTAGTGCGTCTCCGAGACCGACCTTGAGGTCTTCGACGGTGTCTCGAAAGGCAAATACACCATTGGTCTTGGCCAGGAGTATATGGCATGGCCCGACGACCGCGAGGACATTAACTCCTTCGCGCTGAATGGTATGTATCTCCCATATCTGCTGCTCTTCCAACGTTGAACACGCGTGGTAGCTGTCTCTGGCCTCCTGGAGAAGTACAACATCGACCCCAAGTCCATTGGGCGCATCGAGGTTGGAACTGAAACAATCATCGACAAATCAAAATCCGTCAAGACCACCCTCATGGACCTCTTCGCTGAAGCTGGCAACTTCGACATTGAGGGTATCGACTCCAAGAACGCCTGCTACGGAGGAACTGCTGCTCTCTTCAACGCAGTCAACTGGATCGAATCCAGCTCATGGGATGGGCGCAATGCCATCGTCGTCTCCGGTGATATCGCCGTGTACGCCGAAGGCCCTGCCCGCCCAGCTGGCGGCGCTGGCGCCTGCGCCATACTCATTGGGCCCAACGCCCCCGTTATGTTCGAACGTGAGCATACCTATCAGCACCACTGATTGTAACAGTTGACCCCATATTTTTAACTAGCCATCCACGGATCGTACATGGCCAACACCTACGACTTCTACAAGCCCCAGCTCTCCTCGGAGTACCCTGAGGTCGACGGGCCCGTCTCAGTCGTGACCTACGTCGCCGCGCTCGATGCCGCCTATCGCGTCTTCAAGGAGAAGTACGCCAAGGCCGCCAAGCGCGCCGCCTTCAACGGCGTGCCCGTTGAGAAGCCCGTTGAGGCCGTCTTCTCGCTTGAGGACGTCGACTACGCCATCTTCCACAGCCCATACGGCAAGCAGGCTGTCAAGGGCCACGCGCGCATGCTGTTCAACGACTTCCTCGACGCGCCCAAAGCTCCGCGCTTTGCCAACATCCCGGATCCCGACGCGCTGCTCTCCGCGACGCACGCGGCCTCGCTCAGCGATAAGAACGTCGAGAAGGTGTTCGTCGGCGCGTCGAAGGCGTCGTTCGCGCAGAAGACGGACCCAGGCATGGCGTGCTCGCGCCGCCTCGGTAACATGTACACTGCGTCACTGTATGGCTGCCTCGCGTCCGTACTTGCGTCGGTTGAGCCGTCGACACTCCTTGGCAAGCGTATTAGCTTGTTCTCGTTTGGTAGTGGCTGCGCGGCGAGCGTGTTCCTCGCGAGGGTAAAGGGTGACACCACTGAGATCCGCCAGAAGATGGACCTCCTTGACCGCCTGTCAAAGATGAAGGTGGTGCCTCCACAGGAGTTCGTCGCTGCTCTTCAAGTATGTCTTTTTCCAACACTTTGCTTGATGATGATGTTAGTCGGTTTTCTCCTCTCTTAGCTCCGTGAGAAGAACCACAACGCCGTTTCATACACACCCGAAGGCTCCGTCGACAACATCTGGCCCGGCTCCTACTACCTCGACAGCGTCGACTCCAAGTACCGCCGCAAGTACCTCCGCGCACCCGTCGCCTAACTTATTCACCTTCTCCGCCCACTGAAACACCTTCGTCCCATCCACACACCGCACATCACACGATACCATTGCATCTGCTGTCCATGCCCACCTTGCTAAGTTTATGGGGCTTGCACAGCGCCTCACGGTCATTCGTAGACTCACTATAGACACCACCATCCACTTTTTTGCATACCTAATAGCTCTGGTAACTAAATCTGTAATGTTATAATCCAAAAAGACTGTACTCACAAATATTGGAGTGATACAATTGTGAGAGCGAGAGCAGTTGTCGGTCGCGGGATGGAAACGCCCCGGGCCCGTCATAGGTCGGCGGAGGAAGCCCTGTTGTTTCGCCAGTTTGTCAATGGCAGCGCTGAGTGGACTAATGCCAGTAACTCTCTGCAACTATTAGCCAAAACTCAACTTCTAAACTTCAAGCACCAGGTAGGAAGGTTAAGACCTTGCATTTTTGTCCGTGCACTATCCTATTCCGCAGTAAAAGTGGGTATATGCGATCTAGAACTACATCCCTACGTTCATCTAGCACGCGCCACCAGCAACGTTGATCTTCGCGAGTGAAGGAATATCAGCATCAGTAAAGATTCTGTACTTGGTGGCAGGAACGCCAGAGAAGGCGGTGGCGAAGCGTTCGGCAGTGTTGTTGGCACCCTCGACGCGGCGGATCCAGGTGCATTGGATTGGGACACCTTTCTTGAAACTAGAAAAACAAAACACGGTCAGTAAATGGGTATTAAGACGGAAAGGGAGATATAAAAATACGTACGCCTCAGCATAAGCCTCGGGATCCTTCTGCGTTGAATCACCAATAGCGAGCCACTTCTTGCTCGGATACATGCTCCTAAGCCTATCAATCTGGCCAACCTTGTACTCCTGTGTGGTCGAGCTCGTGATGAGAGAGATCAGCTGTGCAGGGTCGATGATTGTCAAGTTGCGCGTGAAGATGGGGCCCTTGGCCGTCGAGTAGGTGGTGTCGAGGAACTGGTTCAGGAAGGGGTAGAACTGGTATGTTGAGCCAGTGACGTAGAAGAACTGGGGTTTAAGCGAGTTGGCGAGGGAGGTGTAGAGCGCCGGCATGCCGGGCACGGGCTTGGGCTCGTCGAGCAGGGCGGTCTTGATGGACGCGACGGTGTCGAGGACGTTGGAGATCTTGACCGTGTCGTCGATGTCTGAACGCGAGACAAGGCTAGGTTAGTCGAAGTCCTGCAGGGTATCAACTGGGCTACATACCAGAGATGACTCCGAAGCCAGAGCTGGACGACGAGAAGATAGTTCCATGGATGTTCCTCTTGTCGATGGAAGTCAAATCCGCGGTGGCAGTGAGTTCGGTCGTGCTTCCACAGTTGCCCAAGGACAAAGTCGAGATCGACAGGCCGAGGTCGGGCAAGCCAGATGAGTCCCCCGTCTCCACAGACGACGTCGAGCACCCTGGAACTTCAATTGTCGCGTGCTTGCCTGGCAGTCCAATCGCGCCGAACAGCTTGATGCGCTCCTGGAGAGTGTTCAGGCTGTTGCCGACGTCGATATTCAGCGTTTTGAGAAATGCAGTCACGGCGACGGTAACAACACCCAGGTCGAGCTGGCGCAGCGAGGTGAAGGTCTGCAGAGCGACGAGGGTGTTCCCTGCCTTGTTGGGGTCAGGGAAGGCGGGGGAATCGAAGATGAGGAGGTCGTCCGTGATCTGAATCTCGTCGAAAATCCCCCGTGAGTCGGGCGTCTCTGTGGGCAGGGCGTTGGCCGACAGGGCTGCGAGCGCAAGGAGGGCGGTGGGCTTGAGGAAATGCATTGCGTAGGCAGAAACGAGTGGAAGGAATGCAGCAGGCGCCGTTCAAGAGGGTCGTTGAACGAGGTGCCCGGAGCCCGGAGTGGTGCTTTGAGCACCAGAATATATACCCATCCCGAGGCATCCGCCCCCTCGTAAGGGCCGAGAGAGAAGAGTGGCCAGCTGGTACCAGCTTGTGGGTACCCTATTTGTCGCGTAATTGGCAGGTGCACCGACGAATGTGCACCTTTCGAGGCGCCTCCCAAGAGATGAGCAGCATGGTCTGCCTTCATAGGGTCGTATCACATCTCAACGCAAAATCACAGGCTTGCCGCTTGATCACAGTCGTCCGTCTTCGAGTTCCAGGAAGGCAAGTATGTACGATGACAGGCAGCAAGAAGCTCGTTGATCGCCCGTAAAGTCCGAACGGGGAGTGAGTGAGGAATACTCTTTAGTAAAGTTCAGTTCCTCGAAAAACTTGCAGCAGAACACAGCTCGTCGCACCTGGAAAAGAACAGGAATAATGTTGGCTGCGTCGAAGCACTCATAATCGCGTGGATCGCTTCCGGTGGTAGTTGCGGGGAAATAGATGGTCATTTCAATTTGTACCCCTTGCGGTCGTCCACCTGACACTCAATAAACGTGCTAAAACTTTGTGAGGCCGCCGTGAACCATGTGTTGTGGGGTGATCGTCGGCGATGGAAGAAGGTCGAGGACAAGGAGAACGTGCGAAAGCTCCCTTCGCGGATGTCCGGCATCGACGATGACGCTGTCGGCGTTGTCAATCATGACTGGTCAAGATGACTGAGAAACGACGCTTCAGAGTGTCGAATGGCAGCCTCCCGGCGACGAAGATCGCAACTCTTGCACAATACCACCCGTTCTCCCAACAGGTCTGTCGTCCAGGTTCGTCGCAAGAAGTATAAGGACCCGATAACGACGATGTCCAGCTCGATGTCGTCTTTCTATCCAACCCTGTTCTGCTTGAATCCTTGAAGAAGCTGGAAACCTCGTATGCGAAGGGGAAGGCAAAGCTCTCGGATGTCGTAGCCAAGGCAGACGCGTTCGTGAACCAGGTAGAAGGAGAGAGGTGAGTCTTTCTTATGCGTCTGACCTGAACTGACGGCCGCATAATCGCTTTGTAGCAATCTTCTTGTCGTGAGTCACAGCACCCACGAAGACGATGCGTGGTGCATCGATCCTCGCGGGCATCTGACGCTCTCTTTGGGCAAAGATACCTGCGAATACCTCGGGCTAGTTGGGCAAAAACTGCCATCAGTGAGAGGCATGGTATGTCCATCTCTCTGTTTGCTGTGACGCTACCCCAACCGATGAAAACTGCTAGTAATCGACATACCACTGAAGAAAAACGTGCTTTCGCCCACTGTTCGTGCAAAGCAGAAGACCGGCCTCGAGTTATGGGATAAAATCCGCCAGGATGCAGCAAGAAACACTAGCAACACTAGCGGAGCAGAGCTTTGGGAAACTCTACTGTTCGCGAGGTGGGTTCGGCCTCCATCCTCTCCTAGTGGCGTAACTTCGACGACCCTCTAACCTTATTCCAGATCCAGGCACCCCTCCCGAAGGACCGTTTCAAGACGGGCAAATCCGCCGGGTGCTGTGCCAGAAGAAAGAGCTTCTGGACGTGCATATACCCGTCCTGAGCCTTGCATCTCCTCCGCAACCGCCCCCGTCCAAGGTGGAGAGCGAACAGCAATTTGACCATGCTGAAGCACACGAAGATTGGTCGCGTCGCGTTCAAAGCCTCTTCGAATGGGCTGGCATGGCTGCCCTCGGGGCACAAAGGTATGCAATCTTTTTCGTCTCTTCTCCTCGAGGACATGCCAGCCAAAAGCACTCTAATTGATCCAAATTCCTCGTCATCCCCGGCAGGCTGAACGCAAACGATCGTGTCGATCCGTACGTGGCGCTCTATGAGCCTCCAACGCCGTCTCGCGTTGGGAACGTAACCCATCTGCAGTGGGGCCTGCTGAGCCCTTGGTTTGTCCAGCAAATTCTCGATGCTGCAATGAAAGTCTGCAGTCTGTGCCTTCATCGGACATTCTCCGTCTTTCCTCATACCCTAAATTCCAGCTCAACTCTCCAAACCACGCCAAGCCCCTCCTCCAATTTCGCGAGCATAACCTGCCACGCCCTGTCCTCATCACCCGTATCCTACATACACCACAACGGATACCGGTGCGCTAAAAGCGCCTACGCACGTTCCCACAAAGCTACCCCGAGCAGAAGGCGAAGACACGTGGAGTTTGTTCTTCGAGCGACCACACGATGGCTCTGAGAATGAGAACGTTGTTCGGTGGTGTCTGGCGGAGAGTCTCGGGCAGTGGGATGCGCGCTGGGGGTAGATATACAAGCGATGACTTCGAGGGAAAAAATCGTTGCCGAGTGTTACAGAGTAGGTACGCCATCAGGATTCAGCCAAGTTCTGGTGGTCTGTGCGCAGGCGCCTAATTTAAATGATACCCCACCTCGCAAAATCGACCCTGCACCTCTCCAGCGGCTCCGATAAGCTCAGCAAGTCACAGGTGTATCTGGCAGAGGATCTGCTGGAAGCGAATGGTGATACCCACCCCGCGATCTTGACAGAACGAGTCCAACGCTCGTGAGAGTTCTACGTTCAACCTAGAATAAGTCAATGTCCGATCTTGGTGCGATATACACTGTACAGAGAACTTAAGCTAGGTTTCTCATCTTTGCGATTCGAACCTTGCTTTACAAGATAAGGAGAAATGGAAATTGCGCGCATGTACAAGTGGATCGTTGCATGAAATGGTACAGTACAAATGGTATAGATGGACTGTGGTCGACGGCTGAGTACAAACACCGGGGTTAGTTTTCGAGGAGGAACTGGAGAATGCGAGGACGCGAAGAGCAACAGGGGCAGAGCATATAAATCAGGCATAAAAAGAGAAAGGTATATGGGTAAAGAAGAAAAGGCTGAAGAAAGGCGACGAAACTACGACAACCCGACGTAGAAAGAGAAGCATAATACGAAAGCGCATCGGTCCAAGGAACACGGAACTATGCACCTGTACATAGAGTAAGATTTGAAGAGACTCTATCTGGCGTCTCTGTCATTAAAAGAAGCGGTTGCGTTAGATGTTTTAGGGGGTGCAGTTCTAGCCGCACTGGGAGCCACTACGAGCGAACGTGTGGCGCCTCATATGAAGCTGTTCGAGACGCGAACCCGGGTGGGGCCGGGGGACGACTCGATGCGGGCGAAGGACATGCGGGCGCGTGGGTTGGTGAGAGGCCCGTCGCGGGTGCCTCGGGCGAGGGTCGGGCTGGAAGGAATGGCGGGAATGGGGTGGTGCTGCCACGAATAGAAGCGAGGGGTGATGGAGGGAGGTGGGGAAGGAGAGAGCATGGTCTGGCCCATGTACGAGGCGGTGGGTGGGGTGGAGGGGACCACGGGCGCCTCGCCGGCGGTAGCGCGGCGACGAGGGGGCGGGGATGGCGAGCGGCTCGAAGGTTCCCTAATGCGCGAGACGGTGATCGGGGTGATGTTGACTGTTCGACGCAGGGTGGGTGAACGTGGAAGAACTGCGTCTCGCCCTCTGCCATCTTCGATCTCGGGGGTCAGTGCGCGGAGAGATGCTGGGGGTATGAAGACGGGTATCCCAACGTCCTCGGTGACCCCTGTTTGCCCGGGCGTGAAGACTGAAGCCCTGGTGCCGGGGACGTACATGGGGGTCTCTGTGGTGTTCCCTTCAGCCCGCCATTCTGCATCTGCTGAACCCGCTTCCTCGGATTCCACACTCCAAGAACCCGTCATCAGGATGGCTGGGTCATCGGGGCCGACGGCCATCGGGCTGCCCTGCTCGCTGTCGCTGCTGGAATCGCTAGAGTCGCTCGAGTCGGAAATGTCGATGTCCCCTCCCGCAATCATGGTCGACAGGTCCCGGGGGAGCTGACGCTGGAGTTGTGCGGGGTCAATAAAGGCCTCGTACTCGGCGTCCTGGAAGAAGTCTTCTGAGTCTGGATCGAAGCGGTTCCAAGCTCCCCATCGTTCGCAGACATCGACCTTGGGCTCCGGTTCCGTCCTGACTGCTGGGGCTGAGGCTGCCTTGACTTGTTGGGAGAAGAGTGCACGGCCCATGGCTCAAGTTTTTGAAGGATATTAGGGGGCGAAACGATTAAAGGATGCAGAGGGGCCGAATGAGGTCAAGCAGGCGTGCCGTCAGCGCTTTTGGGGTATTGTAAGGTAGAGGCAAGGGGTATTTTGTAGGAGACTGCTGTGAAGATGATGGTGGGAAGGAAGACGCGTCGCGCTGGAAAGAGCAAACAAACAAGGCGCGGCGTTAACCGACTTCCTTTTCGGGCCACATCGGCAAATCTGCCTCCGTCAACGCATAGCCTCCCCCAGCATTGTTCGAGCAACTTCCATTGCCAAGGATGGTTGTATCCAGCCAGAAATCCTGTTCCGACACCGCCAGCGAGACGGAACAGTAATTTGGCCTCAAAACTTCCTGCTCGAATATCCTTGCATTTGGTGATCTCTGGCCTTGGTCTACTCGTATCTGCCTTCAGTCGATGCTTGCAACAGAGTTTTGTCGGCGTACCTCAAAATGATTTGGAGAATCTTCTCTATTTTAATCCGATCCCTCTTGAATGCTCCGCGATTTTGCTCGTCATCCCACAGCTAAGCGGAAAAAACGTGGCGTTAGAACCAGCGTTTCCCCGCTGTCTCCATGGTCCGTTTCCACTACCAAAGCTGTCGATCATCTTCTAGGCTAGAGTTGCCGGAGCCGTAGTCTCTACAGGCCCTGCGGCGGCTCCGACTTCGAGAACACAGCGAAGATGCAAGGCTATCAGTAATGCAGGCCCGAGTTTCGACTCACTGCAAAGAAACGTTTATCCTCTATATCCTCGGACTCAGCTATTTACGACGGCGTCCGTGCGTATATTCGAGTCCCAGATACAAGAATAGACGATTTGCCTCCAGTTCAAAATGCACAGTCCATGTCTCAAGGATGACTACTCCCCGCGGGAGCCCGATTTTCCTTGCGTTGCTAAGAAATCAACCTCAGTCAAATTTGGGTGAGTACTAGCCTTTATTCTCCTCTCGCGAGCCGAGAAAACCGAGGTTCCAGAGAAATGGTACCCATGGCTTGCCTCAACGTTCAACAAGCACTCACACGAGCGATGGGTCAAAGTTCCTTATTCTCCGGTGTTCGACCTCGAATTTCAACGAACATACATATCCGTTCTCACTCACCCAATCGAGGCGGAGTACTTTATTTATGCGGTGCACATCGAGCACCGTGTACTCGGATGGCACCCCATGCCTTGCGATGGACCACTTAGTAGTCTATGGAAGAACACGATGAATTCAAGATCAGCATTTTCCTCGACCCAGCGAGGCAGCATAAGTCGGGAGCAGATTGGTAGAACTTCTAGAAGTGCCATGAAGGGTCCTCTCGTTCACGCCGCACCCAACCACCAACGTCGTCGAAGATGCGTCTCATCTTTGGTTTTGGTCTTACTCCCCTTCTTCTGGCATAGCTTTAACCATCGAGCTCAAACATATATGCACTAAGTAGAGCGAATCGAATTCAGAAATTAATTGCAACTGCTCCGCTCCCTCGTGATTCGGTAAGACTCTCACCAGAAAATGCACCAATATGTTCCATGGTTCCAAGAGCTCTACTCTACTGACCCATGTTCCTCCGACTTCATGATCCAGCCCTCGTTATCCTCATACACTTCCTCAGTCTTTAAACGATGCCTCATTGTTACGAGATCAAAGTCAAAAGAACGTCGAGCAATTTCATTCTTGGCAGGAGAGCCCGATTACTGTAACTCCCATCGCCTCGGAATCGAGAGCGCGGATTGCTGGCTCAGGGTCGTTCGTTACTTATCAGGAACTGTTTCTTATTTAAGGCATTTTGACCGATGATTGGCGGTGCGCCACAAGCCCCTGGCTCCCGAGATTATGTCGCTGAGCCATAAGGGCGGACCATGAATTAGATAGAGTACAACGACATCACATAGTTCCTTGGCTGACACGATTAGTCGTCGAGAAAATACGGTAGGTTCTAGCCCAGCTACCATCCAAGATTGAGATTGAGGATCCCACATCGCATCCCACAAGCTACCATGCTGTACCGGACACCACGATGGGGCTGTCAGGGTTCGACTGTATTTCATTCACTGGATACCCGCATCCCGCGCAGGCAGCTCTCCATTAGCGTAGACTATCTCCCCAATCACCCAACTCATGACTCCCCACTAATATCCAGCAATTGCTCTATACTCTTCCCCAAATCACCTTCGTTCGCCTCCAGCACCCACTCTATCACCTCCACGTCCACAGCGGGGAAGATCTGCCTGAGCGTCGCGCGCGACGCAGCGGCGGCTTGCTCATGTGCCGAGTCGATCTGAGCCTGCACGCCCGCGAGATCAAGTGCGGGCGTCGGCGTCCGGGAGATGTGTGCCTCGGCGGCCTCATTCGCCGCAAGCGTCTGTACACGTGGGGGCAGGAGAGAGCTCTGCTGGAAGAAGGGCTGCGAGGGGCCCATGGCGAGAGATTGGTGAGTGTATGGTCCTATTCGCGAGGGTGTTTCTTCGGGCCCGTACCCTGGTGATTGGCCTGGAGTGGATGGATAAGAGGGGTAGGAAGGCGACGGTTGCCTGCGCACGCGCTGCTTGTAGGGTGTTTGGATTGGCGCACTGTTGGGCGGGTCGTATTGGTAGGGCGTATGGGGTGTTGTCGCTGACCGTGGCGTGCCAGGGCCAGCTTGCCACACTTCTGGAGGTTGCCATTGGGACTGACCTGATCCAGAAGCCTCTGCTCGGTTCTCACGGCCCAGCTCGAAGGGCGCGAAAGGACCTGGTAGGTATGAGAGCTTGTTCTCCGCTCCATCCAAGGCCTCGGTGAATATACGTCCGATAGCATTCAGCGGTTTCGATATTGTGTCTCCGGTCTTCTGGAGTAGGCGTTTCGCATCTTCGGACAGAGTTTGAGTTGGTGTTGAGATGGCTAGTGGTTGGGCGGCCTCTTCGCCTGCGTGCAGAGAGGGCTTTTCGGCGAATCCTCGAAGATTTGCTTCTGTAAACGCTATTGCAGGCGAATGGGGTTCTGACTGTGGTAGCGATTGTATAACTTCTTCGACATTCCTGTGACGTGCGTTGTTCAGTGATAGGTGTTAGACAATTAGACGGAGGACGTACTTCTCGAACTCCTCTTGAGTGATGTTAGACAATGATGTGTGGTCCATCGTCTCAATAAACGACACAGCACCCATCTGCGACGAGTCAGCTCGGACCGCGAGAGGGAGAACCTGAACGCACCAGACTCGAAAGATAATACCCAGCCTCACTCTGCAGCTTCTCTGGATTACGAAAACGATTGATAAACCTGCCAATCGGCGCATTAAGATTGACTGAAAGGACAGAAAACGAATCACGAACTCGACATTAGATAGCAAGTGTTCTGGGTTTGCTTTGAGGACGACAAAGATTAGGATTGGAACAAATGAGTCGGCGCCTTCTTCTGTATGTAAATGGCGAATTAAACCTAGAAATTATGGCGCCTGTAAGAAGATGCATTCGTTCGAGCAGTCAATGAGATCATACCGAAGATAACCTTACAGCAGTTCAATATACAGATCAGTTTATCTCGAGGCGCCTTGTAATGGTTTATCTTCAGCAGCTCTAAAAAGCGATCAGCTGACCCTACTTGAAGAGAGAAAACCTTGCCAACCTTGCTGAGCAAACATCAAGAATCCTTTGCTACCTTCGCTCTCAGGAATATCAAGATGCTTCTCCTCTATCCAGCCGAATAGCGCTATCCGTTGCGACAAAACGCGATCCCGCTCCAGGTCATCTGTCGTTATCGGCCGTGGAGGGACGGCGTGCACGAGTTGGGGTGTAAAAGTACTTCAGGGACGTGAGTTTGGTCATTTCGTCCCAGTAATCAGAACTGACAAATCGTATAATCTGTTCATCACGAGCTTCTCCATGCCCTCCATCGCGTTCTCGAACTCGGCGTCCGAGGAGTTCCTCCACACCTCACATTCGCGCATTTGTGCTGCAATGAACTGCGACGTCGTTCGGTTGTCGTGTAACAGAATGACAATGCAGAGGTTCAGCTTACTGAAAGGAAGTCGTTGATAATCTTGATCTGGTCGTTCACCGTAAACGTCCTCTTAGCAAAGTTGCTCAAAAACCTGTGTCATCTGCGTCAGCTCAGTCCATCCGTCCAATTCAAAATCAACAACGCACGAGCGCAGGTATTTCGAAACGGGCTCCGCACTCTTCGTCTTCATCTGATCCAAGAACTTCTGGAAATCGAAACCGCCGTCGAGGGCAGGCTTGGGGACGGGCGACGAGGTGCCACTGCCGCTGCGATTAGGAGTTGCCGATCCAGACGCCACAGCCTTGCCCGCGTCGCGTGCATCACCCTTCTGCTGTGCATCCTGTTGCTGAGAGGCGAAAGACGACAGCGTCGATGGCGACGGGACCGCCTTGGCCGATCCATCAAGTGACTGCGGACGCGAGCGAACGAGGGGTAGCGCGAAGCTTTTAGCGAACGAGGCGAACGAAGGGAAGGAGGACGGGGAGGTGATAGCAGCAGCTGAGGGTGCTGCCCCAGGAGACATAATTGTCGGGTCTGGGGAGGTCGGGGAGGAGATATACAGGTCCTTCATAGGCGGCATTGGAGGCGATGGTGTCCTAGGCGGGGGTGTAACAGGCACAGGCGCGGGTTGGGGTGCAGGAGGGTGACCTTCGGATGTCTCCCATGCGTCTCTCGCAGCCTTCTCCTCCGGACTGGCAACAAGAGGATCAAATTCGCTCAGGACCTCCTTTGCGACATCATGCTTGGGCGTTGGGGTCGCCGGTGTAATAGGTGCAAAGATCGGCTGTTCATACAGTGTCGGATCGAGTGCCGCGAAGTGCTTTGGTTCTGTCTTCTCCGTCTTCACGTCCCCCTTCGCTGCTGTGGGCACATCGTCCCATGGATTAGGAGATACAGGGATATCGGAGATGGTCGATGGTCCAGTGGGTGCTGCGGAGGCTGGCGGCGAAGCGAGGTCGTCTGGGGTCGTCGGTGCTGCGTCTGGGGGTGACGCTGGCTTTAGCGCCATGGTACACGGTAAAAGAATAAGGAAGGCAGTGGAGGAGTCGATAATGAAGAGAGGGGAAGCACGTGCAAGACGCGTCTTATCCGAAATCCGGCCCGGACTATGTACTCAAACTCCAACCACCATGTCCATCAGAGCTCTGGAATTCTACAGCGGCATAGGTGCGCAAATTGCACCACTGGAAAGCCACATATGGATGACGCCTTAGGGGGCTTGCACCTTGCGTTATTAAGAAGCGGCATCGATGCACAGGTCATTCGTGCTTTCGACTGGGACCAAACCGCCTGTCAAGTTTACGAAACTAACCACGGAGATATCGTCCAGAAGGTCAGCAATCGTTATCTTATGAAATGGATACACGTTTATGCACCTTCAACAGGCTGATATCTCTACATTAGGCGCGTCGTCACTCTCTCCATTGCAAGCAGATCTTTGGCTCTTGTCCCCCGCATGCCAACCCTACACGGTTCTAAACCCAAACGCCAAAGGCGCGAAAGACCCCCGAGCCCAATCGTTCCTGCACCTTGTCCAGAATGTTCTTCCTGAGCTGTCTTCTGGTGATGAGCACCCAGATCGATTGTTCGTTGAAAATGTAGCAGGGTTTGAGGTATGAAATTTTATTCTATCCTGCCGAGAAGTAAATTTCATTGTGGGATGTAGATGTCAAGTACTCGGCAAATACTCGTCTCTACCCTCCGAGCCATCGGATACACGATCACCGAGTTCCTGCTTACGCCTCTGCAATTCGGCGTCCCAAATTCTCGCCTCCGGTATTACTTGCTCGCAAAGAAATCGCCTCTATCCTTCGCCACCATCCAACCCAGTGAAAATGGCGTGATATGGCGACAGATACCAGGAAAGGGTCTTCCATGGACCGATCCTAGACTCGATGAACAGGTTCAAACTTCCAATCCGCCCATGATCCACACTATCAAGGAATATCTAGACCCGAACGATGGTTCTGAGATTTATGGGATTCCGGACAAGGTGCTGAAGAAATGGGGCCGTCTTTTCGACATTGTCAAGCCGTCATCCCGGAGGACCTGTTGTTTTACGAGAGGTAGGTGGATCTCCCTCAAGGGTATCGCATCGCATTATTAAAGTTTCGCTTTTTTGTCTAGGTTACACCCAACTGGTCGAAAGGGCAGGATCGATCTTGCAAGAAAATGAAGATTTGGATGTAGGGCATCTTTTTCCTCGCCCTGCTTCCGGCTCAGCCCTGTCCTCTAGACCACTGCCACTTTCGACGCGTTCCTTGAAGCCTCCAATAGCGGTGACCACCACGTCGTGGACATCCTCCGCCCACTCCGCCTCAGATACTTCTCTCCCTCCGAACTGCTACGAATCTTTGCGTTCGACCCTCCGACGTCTGCGGGCCCATCGACCTTCGTCTGGCCAGAAAAAATATCCACAAAATCGAAATACAAGCTCATCGGCAACAGCGTGAACGTACACGTCGTCCAACAGCTCATCATGTACTTGTTCCAGGAACCGGAGCCCATGTAACGACGCATCTATTGACGCACTGTACACTCTACTCTACGTCGGCTGCACCCGGAACCTCGCGAGTAGGCCATAGTGGTCGCTCACCCATACAGGGCTGCGTTCCGTATCCTCGGCCTCTTCCTCCTCCTCCCCTTCTTCCTCATATTCGCCCTTCTCCGGAACGACCTTCACCCCTACCCCAACCCTCTCTATATCCTCAGCCTTCAACCCACCCACCAACAAGATTTTGTCCATCCTCCTAGGCGGGAACAGATTTGTCGGCTGGTAGCCCCACGTATGCTCAGTTGGGTCGTCATCTTCCTCTCCTCCCTTAGAAATAAAGCCGTCGTCCTGCACCGCTTTCTTCTCTTTCCTTTCCTCCCCATTTGCGTTGGCTGGTGGGGAATGGCACTCAATCCAAGCATCACGGAGGCCAAGCCTTGCTGGTAGGTTAATGTCGGAAGGGGCGATGGGGTTCATGTCGCCTCCAACAAGCCCAGCATGTACCTTAGGTGCGGAGAGGAAGGCCGCGACGGACGCGAGTTGCCTAATGCGTGCGGCGTCCGAGGGTCCTCGTAGGGACTCGAGGTGGACGTTGGCGATGCGGATAACCTTGGGGACTTCACTTTGAGTTCCCTGTTTACCGCCAGGAGGATCAGTTAGATTAGTGGCACGAGCGACTGTAGGGACGACCAGGTCAACGAAAAGTGCCTCCCTCCCCATCTTGCTCCCCCGGAACTTCGTCCTAAACACCGACGCCACATTGCCTGCCCACACCCGCGGTACGAGCGTAATAGTCCCGTAGCCGAACATAAGGTTCTCCCATGAGTGCGATGACACGTCCGTCACATCATACCACTCTCTAACCCACGAGTGTGCGAGGAGCATGCTGAAACAATTCTCGTGCATCTCCTGTATGAGTATTATGCACGGCACCGAGAGAGGGGGGATGAGGGTCTGTAGTAGATCGAGAGCGCTTTTGAGACGCGACTTCTCGTATGCGGCCATGAAGTCAACATTCCATGTTACGACGGCGAAGGAGACTATGGGCGCGGGGTAGATTGGATCGTGTGTAGCGGGTGTACGAGGGAGCCAGGAGGATTTGGAGGAGTCGAAGGTATAGAGGTTCTTTGGAGATGTTGGCCAGCCTTCTAGAGGGGTGTTTGGACTAATTTCGGGGAGGATTATGGCTGGGTTGAGGCACTGGACGGCAGATGACATTGTTTACGGCTATGGTGTGTTGAAAGAGCCCATGGGAACGTGTTGAGATCTCATTTGTCGGCCCGCGCATTCCGTGCTCTTCACGACGCAGCATCGTTTGGACACCTTGCGTTTAGTTCAAGTTGGACGTTCGTCTTGCCATTTCCTTCATCCATGCATATATGCTGTAGGATTGTGTAGATACCGCGCCTGTGATCGGTCCCAGCATCGATCCAGCCTTCCACCTCCTCGCTTCTACCCAAGAACATTGCTCGTGTCGCCCAATAGAATATTATCTATCAGACGTGTTTTGTCGACGTACAACGCACCACTCAAGATGACCAACTCAGTCTGGCCCCTCTTCACCTCCGGATCCAGCACATCAAACGTATGCGCATCGTTCATCTGGAGATAATCCAGCTTCATGCTGACTGCCAACCCCTTCTCCTCCACCTCCTTTCCTTTCGCCTTAACGACACCAATCGCCTTTTCTATGCACGCTTCCTTGGACAAACCCACAGCCCAGGCAGACTCAGCTGCTTGTAGGGCGAGCCTGAGGGTGGATGCAACGGCGCGTCCTTGAGGCGTGAGGTACGCGTTTCGTGAGGAAAGTGCTAGCCCGTCCGTGGGATCGCGGGCTGTTGGGATGATGTGCAGGTTTTGAGATTCGGGGTGGGGCAGGAGGAGGTCGCGACAAAGGCGTTTTAGGAGGAGGGCTTGTTGTATGTCTTTTTGGCCGAAGTACGCCTGTGTGGGCTGAGCAAAGGGCATGGCGAGAATATCACATAGTCTATTCTCAGCACACAGGCAAAAAGAACGAAGAAATGACGCACCTGGACGGCATTAAACAGCTTCGTGACCACTGTCGCCACACCCCTAAAGAACGTCGGGCGGCTCACGCCCTCCATCTGGTGCCCGTACCCCTTCACCTCGACGAACGTCCCCTTCTGCTCCGCGACGTTTTGGACGATCCCTGAAGGATACATCTCCGAGACGGTCGGCGCGAAGACTGCCGAGGGCGTACGGAGCGTCGATGGGGCCGTGGATGCGGGGACGGCTTCGGCCTCTAGCAGCTCGAGGTCATGCGGGAGGGTGCGCGGGTACGTCGCGAGGTCTTCGTGCGGTGCGAACTGGGCCGGGTTGACGAAGATGGAGACGACGGTGAGGTCGTTCTCGGCGAGGGATTTGCGGACTGCAGCTGGTATAAGACGCAGTGCAAAAGAGGTCGGGGGCCAGGACTCACCTAGAGAGAGGTGTCCTTCGTGTAGGGCTCCCATCGTTGGGACGAAGCCTACCGACTTGCCTTCTTTGAACGCCTGCTTCCTCCATGTTCGGTAGTCTGCGATGGCCGTGAAGATGGGAATGGTCGATTGGGGTGGCTGCGTTGAGCCCGAAACCATCGTCCTAGTCGACGTCGAAATACGAGTCGCAAGGAATACGTTATGAATCGGATTCCGATTGCGAGAACTTCCTAGCAGTAAGCTTGAAGTTATCGAGGTCGGCCGGGGTAGTAGCGCAAAAAGAGGTCTCGCCAAGCAGGGGATGGAAAACTTTGACAGCGTCATTCAAATAGGAGACATGAGCCGATTTTCGGGATCTGGGGCCTGGAAGAGAGTGGAGGTGGAGAGATGGTGCATTTTGGGGAGCAACATATGGCATGACACTCTGTCTCCGCTTTTTTCTCGATCCCATTACCCGGAACCTCGAGTTATCAGATTAGATGTCCTTTTCTTCTCCAGGTCTCTCGGAGGACTGGTCTTGGTCTTCTGCTGTCCCGGTCATCGTCATTCTTGTCTGCTAGTTCGTAGACACGAAAATGCAGGTACGGATGACGTTGGAGAATGGAAGGTGGTACATGGAGAAAGAATTCGAAGAATGCCCCATTCCGATGATCCAGCTACTCGTACAAATCGCTATCGCGTCTTTTTCAGGCTTAGCTGCTGTTCTTGTTTTTCCCATTCCTCCCTCCACCTCTTCCATTCTCCTTCCCGACCTCCGTCCGACCATACAGCCCACCCATCACGTATCTGCAGCCAGACGATGATTGGGTGGTTTAAGAACATTGTCTTCAGCCATCCTAGTGGTGAATTGGGAAACCACGTCGGAATAGCCTGGGCAACGAGATACAATGGAGCTCCAGTAGCCACCCCAATTCCAAGTCCCCAGTATATCTGGTACGCGTTGTGGTAGCCCAGGTAATATCTGTCGACGTCGGGAGTCAGACGGGAATTCTCCAACATGGACTCCGGTTGACATACCGCGAATATGCAACAAGCCCACACCACGCCAGCAAGGCGGCATATACCGTCATACGCCAGAGAACATCGACAGCCTGGTACCCAGTCGACGAGAAACGGTGTCGAAAATATAGATGGCACATCAAGAATGACGCGAAATAACCCATGTATTGGCTGTGGGATGAAGGGAAGCCGTATCCATTGCCAATGCTTTCTGGGGGAGAAAATCAGCATAATTCTTCATTGTGGCAGATGAATAGACGTGCGTATTGGTCTCTCCTCCTTGATAGCGCGTTTGATGATCCAGTTAAGCAGCTCTTCAGCGAATTGTCCTGCCCACATCACAATTATAAGAAACTCGCGCGTCTGGACAGCTAATGCTGCATACGAGGCCTAGAGATAAATTAATTTATTCAACGTGCCTCATATTCACGTATATTCACCATGAGGAGGATCGGACTCAGCGTTACGAGTGCAAGAGCGAGCGAAAAGTACGATGAATCATCGTCTGGTTGAGCGAAGCGTGCGTGTAAATTTCATGTTGACCGAGATGTTCATGCAGCACGCACATAGAACATGAGTGAGATCAAGAGAGGACCGTGGTCCTTCGTGGATATGCATTCCGCGTACCGGCTTGTCAATTTGACTGTCGTTGACCAAAACTTAAAGAAAAGGTGTTAAGTAGACTCGTCACTCGGGCTCTCCGCGCCGCCCCGATTTGGAAGTCAGCTCGCACGCCAAGCCTTGAACCCTTCGTCCAACCGACTCATCCAGCCAAACCAAGGACCATCCACTCACCACGACGGGCGCGCGCAGTATTTGTCTTAAGCTTCTCTTCTCTTCCCCCGACCTCTCCCTCCGTGATGGCCTGCAACTATTCTGGTGTGAGTCCTGCTAACTTGTCTTTTCTGGCATTGAGTACCACAAGTACACCGCCCTGATGCAGTGAACAGAGTCTTCTCGGCGCCAGACGATCCCAGCCTGCAAATTTAGACGCCCCTAATGGAAAAGCAATTAGAACTCCGGCGCCTCGAGGCCAAAAATGAGTCAATAAAGCCGTCCACGAGTCAAAAGCCAGTCAAATCGACACAGCTTGGTGGAGGGTCAGTCTCTTTATGTCCGGAGCCGCCCCTTTGTGGACAGGGCTGTGCGGTGGCCTGCATGGTCATCGGAAAAGTATAAAGTATTCCGCCCTGGTTTTTTCGACTGTCACTCACCTCCTCGTTCTCAGTGGCCCGCAGTCGCGACTTCTGTAGGCGAACATGGCGTCCCCTCTCTTCCTCGCCCAGCAAGTCTTCTCTGCCATAAGCAACAGCAATCTTGGTACCCCCGATCTGTCTGCATGCGCCAACGACACAGCAGGAGCTAATTCGACCCAAAACGCCACTCAACCCCTGGCATTCCCCACTGATGTGTCTTCGCTCCTCAGCTTTTTGGTCTCTTTCTCCGCGCTGCGAGAGTGGCTCAAAATCCTTGTTTTTGGAAGCGCCCTCGAAACCCTCAGACGGCTGGCATTCCATTTCTACTACAAGATCTACAACTCCTTTTTTATCACCGCCCATTTCGAAGAGGATGATTCGAGTTATGGTGTGCCACCAACACGTTCTATCTTGGATCAGGAAACTCACCGCCCCACGTTCTATTCTAGACTGGATGATGCTGTGGCTGTCTCAGCAACCTACATGGAGTGAGTTACACTTTTCTTCCACGTTATGCATAACTAATAACCAGTATCACAGAATCTGCGCGTGATGTTCAAGTCAGCACCTCATCGTTCGGCCTCAACTCAACGGCAGTCAAGATCGAAGGGGAAACAGACGAGAACCCTGCCGATGTCGGACGGCAGCTTGCTTATCTGCCCTCCTTGTCAGCTGTCTCGTCCATGTGGTACAAACGTCGTTGGATGCGTATCACCCGAAGTTCTCGGGAAGGCTATTATGGCCGTCGTGAAAATTTACTCGAGATCTGGTGCGTGGCCTCACAAATTAGGCGCCCAGCACAGCCCTGATTGATTTGGGCTCCGTTTATAGCATCCTGTCTATGGACCACTCTATCCTCAACCAGCTCTTGATCGAGGCGAAGAAGGCGTACCAGGCCGCCCAGGAGAACACAATCAGCATCTATGTTTCGGATACGTCGAACAACTGGCGCATGGTCGCTTCCCGTCCCAAACGACCTTTAAATTCCATCGTCTTGGACCCTGGTATCAAGGATCTGCTCATCGGGGATGCCCGCGATTTCCTACAGAGCAAGAGCTGGTATTCTGCGCGTGGTATTCCTTTCCGCCGAGGCTATCTTCTGGTAAGTTTTCCCTTCTTTGATCATAATGAGTCGGTGGCTGAATGTCCTTTTCAGTACGGTGCTCCAGGTTCAGGCAAGACTAGTATCATCCACAGTCTAGCTGGAGAGCTGGGCCTTGATGTCTACGTCATCTCCCTCTCTCGTATTGGCCTCGACGACACGTCTCTCAGCGAGATCATCACGGACCTTCCGGAGAAGTGCATCGCCTTAATGGAAGACATCGACGCGGCCTTCAGCCAGACCCTCAACCGTGAACCTGACGAGGACGAGAAAGAGGACCCTGAAAAGAAGAAGGATGGAGCAGGCTCGAACAAGAACAACCAGCCTCCACCTCCTTCGACGAGCAGGATCACCCTCAGCGGGCTCCTCAATGCTCTTGACGGTGTCGCGGCTCAGGAGGGCCGCATTCTTTTTGCTACCACGAACAAGTACACCTCGCTCGACCCTGCCCTCTGCCGACCTGGACGCATGGACATCCACATCGAGTTCAAGCTTGCGAGCAAGTACCAGGCCGGCGAGCTTTACCGGTGCTTCTACCTTCCTGACTCCGAGGCCGACACTGAAGTGTCCAAGGAGAAGGAAAATGACAAAGAAACGGACCAGTCCGACGTCGAGGAAAAGCCCAAAGGTGCAACGGCAATCGACTCCGGATACTCCTCAGCCGACGAGAAAGAGAAAGACAAGCAAGCCGCCAAAGCCGCATCGGAATCTACCTCTGCCAGCAAGCCCGAACCCGTCGCCTTCAGCGGCGAGTCGCACCGCAGGCGCGCACCTAAGCTCTCGCGCACCCAAGTGGCCACCCTCGCCAACCAGTTCGCCGAGGCAATTCCAGAGCGCGAGTTCTCGATGGCTGCTCTCCAGGGCTACCTCATGGGCTACAAGATTCGGCCCTATGAGGCGATCTCGGAGGCTCAAGCGTGGATTGCAAAAGAGAGCGCGGATGCCCTGACAAAGAAGGCTAGTGCGGGCCCCCCTTCTCAGGAGAAAGTGAAAGAAGTTGTGGCTAAGGTTGCGAAGAAAGAGGAGTCGGAGAAGGTCACTGGGGTCATTTGAGCGCATCGTCGTCTCTTTCTCCTCTGGCCTCAGCTGCCGCTGTGGTTTTCCTCTTGGGCTTTGTTGGCTTGCCTCCGCTGCACTTCGTCCAATAATCTCATTGGTTCGCACTGCAGGCCAGTCATTTTTCTACAAGCCTCGAGGCACGACAAAAAACCTATATTTGCCAGGGGCTCGCGAGGTGCTGGTCTGCAATTCGCATTGCTGCCTGCATATGTTATACCCTACGAGAGACTACCAATACTGTACTTAATATGAGGACACGCCAGGAGCTAGAAATTGATTCCTGTTCAATTGTATCCAGTGCTATGACCAAACACGGTTGCAAGAGTTGAGTTTGAATCGTGTGGCCACAAGTAATTGTGGCTTGTGCCACCTCCCCTTGGACTAAGGGTCAAACATCAACCTTTCCAACAACTTGCATCTTTCCAAGTAGGTCAGACCGTTCGTGAACGCTCTCTTCATCACCACTTACAACATGCGTTCTTTGCAGGCCTGAGTTGTGCCCATTCTTGGACACAACATTTTGGCCTCTGCGGCCGTAATTTGACGCAATCCGGAATGTACGTCCTGCACATTTCTCCGGAAAGCCGCCTCTAACCCAAAAACCACCGTCAGGGCGACTACAACATCTGGGGATACACAACAGTCCGTGGATGAAGAGATTGCGAAATTGGAGGCCGCGCTTCAAGAATGCAGAGAGCGTAGGAATCGGTTGGCTCCCGTATCGCGCCTCCCTAACGAAGTACTCTCCGCCATTTTCCTGTTCGTCAGCTCTGGAGCGCTGAAGGTTCTTCGGAATGGGAAGTACTCGATGAAGTGGGTGGCATTCAGCCAGGTGGCGAGGCACTGGAGGATGGTCGCTCTCGACTCTCCGACAGTCTGGCAAGTGATTCGTTTGGACTACTCCAGCGCGTGCGTGCACGAACTGCTTCGTCGGTCTGGAGACGCCAGTCTTACGGTCCTCGCGAATGCGTTTGCGCAATGGCAGACTCTCGACTCCCCTAAGGTCAAGCTTCTATCGACAGTTCTGACCCATATCCATCGCATTCAACGGATGCAGCTCGTGGACATCAAATTCAACATTCTGCGGGCGTTGTTCAAAGATTTACCTGTCGCCGAACGCCTCGATGACCTCTTCATCAGGACACCTTTATCATCCAACTCCGATTTCGCACTTCACGCAGGCATGCTCGCAAATAACCAGCGTCTCCGAAACATGACGCTGAATGGATGCTGGTTGGACAGATGGGACGCGGAGGTGCTCAGTGGCCTCACATCGTTAACTCTCTGGAACGTGCATGGCAGTTTTCTGTCGACGGATCAAGCACTCGACATGTTGCAAAGGATGTCCGCGTTGGAATACCTCGAGATGTACCACGCGTTGCCTACTCTCCCGGAACAACCTCTCAGCAGGGTTGTCAGCCTCCCCCGGCTGAAACGGTTGTCCATTACTGCTCGCATTCCTAAAATCACCAACCTATTGGACCGGCTTGCCCTTCCGACCACCACGGTCATCTCATTGGAATCAGACCAGGCATTGCCAGGAAATTCCTTCATCTCCACCCTCCGTTTGTCCCTAACCAAGCTCTTTGGCACCCCCTCCACAACAAACGAAGAGCGAAAACCTTTCACTCATCTCATCGTATCATGCAAGGGCAACCGTCGGCTAATTCTGAAGCTCTCGGATTCATACGTGGATGACGCTCTTGAACGGGAACAGCCCTCAAATATATTCCCTGTGTTTCAGCTCGACCTCGATTTTGGAACTGCAGCCAAGGTTGAGGAGGCAGTTTTCAATCTGCGAGACGTTTTCCCGCTGCAAGGGGTGAAGAACCTGGAGTGTAGCGCTCTCACGCTGCAAACTTCCACTTGGGTGCGAGCCTTTGGACGCATGCCCAATGTTCGGTGGATTCACGCGTCTGGCGAGACTGGTCCGGGCATAGCACACGCTTTGGTCCCTCGGATCAATCCGAAGGCTACCTCTCAGACCTCTCCAGAACCCCACGAAGTTATGGTGCCCTTCCCCGGACTGCGTTCAGTGACATTCTTCGGGGTTTCGTTCGCCGGAGATCTGACAGTCAAACTGTTAATCGATTATCTTCAGCGACGAAAGCGGCGAGGCAGCACGCTGGAAAAGTTGCATCTGACGTGCTGCTACTACCTGGAGGAGAAAGGTGTCAAAAAGCTGGAAAAGCATGTCACCGTTGCTTGGGATGGATTTAGTGGTAACAGCAGCGATTTACTGATGACAGAGGATGGATCCGATTTCTGAGCCTCTGGGAAACCTGATGGTCTCGTTGCCAATGACTTGGAACTCCAACTTCTCCACTAGGACCTCTCTTACGAAAGTCACATTGACTTCGCCTGGGGCACTTAATTCCTTCCATTCAGCAACCTAAGCATAAGTACGTGTCATCGAGGACTGGTTGTAGTGTTCTGACTATTTTCATAAAATGAAGTGGCGGTTGCCTAGTGCCTCGATACTGCAATAAGCTGCTCTACGCGATAATATTAATGATTGATCATCACTAGCACTGTTAAGAAGGTGATAAGGGGGGTGACAGCAAGGAAAAGCGCGACAGGGCTCAGTTGGATGCAGAGGAGGAAGAATGATGATGCTGAATGGCCCTATTAGTGCTTTCATTGAACTTGAAGTCAATAACAATGTAGATAATTGAAGGGTTGATTATTTAATTGTGAAGACAGTTGGACGCACTACCATTGAGAGTATCGAGACGGCACATGAGGTAATCGTAATGGAAAGCAGAACAGCATAAAGGTCCCCAAGTATTCAAATATTGAGCGGTGAAGATCTGAAGATCTGACGTCATGCATCCGCGTTTCTTATTTTGGGTCACACCAACCAAATAAAGCACGCGCTCATTTTCCCATGCCCTGTAAGTCCGCGTTCGCAAGTTCGTTCCACATTCACTTCATAATTTTGGCAAACAGAAATTATGTCAGAAGAAGCCTGTCTTCCCGAGGCTTTTTGTCTCGTTGACGAGCAAATTGCGCAATCCAGAGAGGTCACTCGCAAACTCCTCTCGCGCAGGAATGACATGTCACCGACTTCCAAACTTCCTCCGGAAATCCTCAGCAGAATTTTCAAGTTCGTCGCGGATTATCTTTCCTCTGGTTCTCCGAAGAGTTGGTTCCAGTTCTCCCATACTTGCCAGAGGTGGAGGAATATAGCTATCCATTCCCCTATACTCTGGACTACCGTTTCTACTGAATATTCTTCCTGGGGACACGAAATGCTTCGTCGGTCCAAGGCCACAGAAATAGCAGTATACGCCTCGCTTTCGTATATGTCAGAAAGAAAAAAGGAGTTCTTCTTGTCCGCGATGGCTCATAGTCAACGCCTTCGACACTTAGAGGTGAACCTCGACTCATCTTGGAATAATAACACAGGGACGCTGTTGGATGCACTGCCAACTTCAGCTTCGAAGCTTCAGACCCTTCGTATTGTGAACTCCTCATATTCATATGAAGTCCTCCGCATGCCCGAAGCCGCCTTCCAAGAAGTTGAATGCCTGCAACTGCTCGATTTACGTGGAGTTCAGCCAAGTTGGAGATCCAAGTTGTTCGGCCAGAATATTACGTCCTTAACAATCCATGGCAGCTCCAACTCCAATGGTCGCCAAGATGAAGGGCTAAGACCCTCAGCCCTTGACTTTGTTGGAGCACTCCGACGTCTGACAAGATTGGCGGCCCTCTCCCTTCAGAGGACAGCACCGCGGAATGCAAATCCTGAAACAGTCGGTGTCGCGAACCTCCCGACATCTTTATGCACAGTCGAGCTCGTTGACACCCCCGTCAATATCGCAAACGCCCTCCGGCTCATGGCTGTTCCCCCAACCACCCCCGTGTCACTGCAAGCACAACACTATTCAGGACCAGAGGACATATCTGTTCTGTTCGTGTGCTTGGGAGAATATTACTCTCCTTCAACTTGGGTGTTGGGTGGGTCATCGTTCTTTCGAGCTGTTGAGATGGCATGCTCAGGAAATTGCAACTCAAAACTGCGGGCATGGGTAGACGAGCCCGGAGACTTTCCTGTGGGCGTTGAAAACCCCCCCGCGCTTTCACTCATCGTCTGCATGCGAAACCAATCCGTCAGATCTCACCAAGAGATCGCGAAGCAGTTCTTCGCGGCGACTTTCCAGTATCTGCCAATTCAAAATGTAGTGAAGTTCCACTGTGGCAATGTCCAGGCCCCTATCCCTCAACTAGTCCGAGCATTTGGAACCCTCTCGCAGTTGCGGACCATGATCATTGACGATGCAAGCGGTGCTCGCTCCATAGTCAATTTATTGAAGCAGAAGAAAGGCTTCCTTCATGGAGTCCCCCTTCCAGGACTGGAGTGCCTGTCACTTCGTTCCATCAAGATTGAGAACAATGACGAGCGGTCGAAACAACAGTCCCTCTCTTTTGAAAGTCTGCTGGACTGCCTCACAGATAGAAAAACGCGGAAAACGACGCTGTCGCTATTGGATACGAGAGGTTGCACCATAAGTGAACGGATGTTGAACAAACTCAGCCGAGTTGTTGGGAAATTGAACTGATAGGTACGGGTTGGGCTCTTCAAGCGCTGGGAGGACTTCATGATGTCATCTAGGCCAATTCTAACACATGCTGTAGGATTGTCATTCTTCGAGTAACATAATATGTTGCATACTATGAAGAGCCTCTTGTGTTTAAGCCAATCCGAGGCGCTTCCTTTCTGTACGCTCCCGTTCCATGCGAGACAGTTTGTCCTCAGCTTCCGTAACAGCATCGTCCCAAGCAACGAAGAGTTCGGACAATGTATCAGCCTGCAGGATGAGCTTGTAAGCCCGATAGGAACGTAAAAAAAAAACTGGAGGACGTACGTATGTCGCGTGCCGTTCCATGAGGGATGCTATTCGACCCTCCAGAGATGTTGCTAGTTCGGCATCCTCCTGCTGTGCTTTCAATAGCTGTTCTAGCCGAGGCTTCAGCTTCTCGTATTCTATAAGACAATGAGACGCGCTCAGCACGATTGCTGCGCCAAATGGGTAAAAGATACGCGTACCTGCCAGCTTGCCTGCTCCAAGAATCCCCTTCTTCTCAAGGGCTTCAATCTCGAGCATATCACGGTCGGCAGCACGAATGTCTGGCTCCATTTCCGCCAAAAAGGCGTTTATCTCTTCTGGCGACATCTTGTCATACGTTGGCGGCTCTTGGAGTATTCCAGACAATGCGAATGAGGGTGTTAATAGGTGCGCATGTTGGTCGTCTGTAAGGGCAATATGAATATATGCCCGAAGAAACGTAGATAAGAGGCGAGACGTACAAGTATTCATAAACCGCTTCAAGCCCTCGTTCCCTTCCACAAACTTATCTAGTTTCTGCTGCACAGTCTCCGCCAATCGTACCAGGGTTTCACCTGGCTTGAGGTGAGTGGCAGCGGCGCCAGTAGCAGACGTGCTCCCGCCTACAGCATATTCCTCCTTCCCCTTCCCCTTCCTGTCCTTCCCTAAATCCTGTTTGACTCCAAGAATCAACGCCTCCAACCACCGTAACCTAAGCTCCAGCGCAAGCATAGGGTCGACTTTGCCCGGCCCATGACGCGTCTCAAGTCCTCCTCCACCCTCCTGTATCCCAGCCAACGGCTGCTTCTTCTGGACAGCCTCTCCCGTCTTCCCAGGTGATTCTGAAGGATCCATGTCGATATCGATGTCGGTAAAGCTAGAGGAAGCAGGTGAGGCGATGGTATGGTGCGGGTGTAAGGAGGAGAAGATAGAGGTGGTGGTGGTGGGTGGTGGAGAAGATGGCGGGGTGCTTGCGCGCGTTGAAGTCGAGAGATGCCGATGGCGCTGAATGTCGCCTAGAAATACGCTGCCGACTCTGGTAGATTCCATGGATGGTTGGGATTCCCCTTCGCCGTGCAGGACTGGAAAGCTCTTGGCTTCCGTTGACAAACCAATGTAAAGTCTTCGAGTCTGGGTGCAAGGGGTGTTCCGGGGTATCAGAAAGAAATATTGATAATGGTGGGTAGTTTGAGGGAGAGGGGTATCAGAGGAAGCAATGTCGGATAAATGGTGGCATTAGAGTCGTTGCAATTCAAGACGGCGGACGCGAGGCATCCAGTTACAGAACCAACGACCTCCAACGATCCCAGAGTGATGACAATTCTCCGAAGATCCTCAAGAGAAAGAAAGCATTCCATCCAAATTCAGCATTGTAACTACATTAACAACAAAATAAATACTAATAGCCATTGGACCGAGAGACCGAGAGCAATATCGTGATAGAACATGTGACAGGAAAGCGAACACGAAAGGGGTGTGGAATACGAACGAACGAAAGAGTCCAATACCATTGTTACACTGGACTTCTAGAGTCCATCTCAACGGGCAGCTGGCTATAACCATACTCCTCCCCACGTCTACCTTCGCCGGCACTGAAGAGGCCGCCGAACGCCCTGACTCTCGCACTATCTAGCACACTCGCAGCACTATCTAGGAACATGCCTGTCCAGCTCGCCCCGGTAGCAGGCGTAGGTGCTAACGCGATGCCTTGGCCTAGCGTTGCACCTCCATCGCTGTGCATGATACTGTCCGTAGGGCGGCGCCACCATTTGAGGGTTAGCGACGACGTGACAACGCTGACGGACGAGAACGCCATTGCAGCGCCTGCGACCATGGGATGCATGTACAGACCAAGAGGAAGGAAGACGCCCATTGCGAGCGGGATGCCGAGCACGTTGTAAATGCAAGCCCAGATAAGGTTTCTGCGGATGACGGAGAAGATCTTGCGTGAGAGGTTCAGCGCCGCAACGACGTCGAGGAGGTCGGAGCGCATGAGAACGATGTCCGCAGCTTCGATTGCTACCGAGGTGCCGGAGGAGAGGGCAATACCGACCGTGGCGGCGACGAGGGCTGGAGAGTCGTTAATACCATCGCCAACCTAGGACGGGGAACATAATTTAGAAAACAAAGCAACGAATGTTTGGAGGAGATACACACCATCGCAACACCACCACCATCCTTCTCCATAAGCTCAGACACCATCGCCGCTTTACCCTTGGGACTCATACCCGCCCACACCCCACTTGGGTGAATCCCAACCTGCTTCGCAATCGCTACTGCCGTCGCCTTCCCATCACCCGTCATCATATTTACCTCAATCCCCATATTCTGCAGAGCCCGAATCGCCTGTCGACTGCTCGGCTTTGGCGCATCGGCGAGCGAGACAGCAAGAAGGGGCTGCGGGTGTGGGTAGGTCTTGCTCTTGTCCGAGAGGAGAGCGACGAAGATAACCGTCCGGCCGATCTTGGTCTCCTGCTTCTCGTATACCGCGAGCCCGGGCGGGATGTATTGGTGCGCGGCTGTCTCGGCGTCGGTTGTCCCAGAGGCGCTACGGGTGGCGAACTGCGCATTCCCGATGAGGAGGGTGTGAGTTCGGCCCCGGCACTTGATCTCTGCCTTGACACCTTGCCCAGTGACGCTCTCGAACGAAAGAACTTCTGCTTGTGGTCCTGAGGAGCCGAGGAGCTCCTTGCCGTACGTCGCGATGGCTTTGGCCAGGGGATGCTCCGAACGAGCCTCAGTGGCGCTGACCATGGCGATGATCTCGCGTCTCTCAGTCTTGCCGTCCGCGCAAAACCCGTTCAGGTCGGTGTCGCCTCCGTAAGGCTCTTCGGTCGGGAGAAGGCTCGATGACGCCGCTGGAACCCAATGCATGCCTGCAACTGTGAGTTTGCCGAGTGTGACCGTGCCTGTCTTGTCCAGCACGATCCTCTTGATGCTCTTGCTTGCTTCGAGCGCCCTACCGCCCTTGATGAGGATGCCGTTTTTTGCGCCCATACCTGTGCCTACCATGATGGCAGTGGGGGTAGCTAGACCGAGTGCACATGGGCACGCAACGACAATGACGCTGATGCACATCTGGAGGCATACACCGAGCTTGCTGGTGCCGTGCATATGGAACATGGCGGGAAGGTTCTCGGAGTCGACAAACGTTGAAATGAGAAGCCATGCAACAAAAGTTATGCCAGCGAGGGAGATGACGGTTGGGACGAAGTAGCCAGCGACCCTATCTGCGAATGCCTGAATGGGCGCTTTCGATGTTTGTGCCTCTTCGACGAGGCGCACGATCTGGGAAAGGGCGGTATCCTTGCCTGCACGTGTCACGACCATATCAAACGTTCCGAGTCCATTGACGGTTCCACCAATGACTTGGTCTCCAACCAACTTCGTGATTGGTAATGCCTCTCCGGTGACAGCGCTCTCGTCAACGCTGGATGAGCCTTTCACAATAATACCATCCGCAGGTATCTTATCTCCCGGAACAAGCTTGACAATGTCACCAACCTCGACGAGTTCAGTGGCGATTTTCCTTTCCTGTGTGCAAGACGGGTCAGTGTAGATTGTCGCCATGGATGGTGCGAGAGCCATAAGGTCTGTCAAAGCAGCGCTGGTCTTGCCCTTGGCCTTGTTCTCGAGGTATCGACCAAGAGAAACGAACATGAGTAACATAGTGCTCGTCTCGAAAAAGAGATGAGGGCGGAAGTCGGGTGTAGTGTTGAACATGGCAAAAAATAGGGCGAATACAGAATAAAAATAGGCGGCAGATGTTCCTAGGACAATAAGGACGTCCATTGTTGCAGAACGATGCTTGAGGGATTTATAGGAATTAGTATAGAATTTGGAACCTATCCAGAACTGGGCGGGCGTTGTGATGATAAATGCAAGGACATCTCCGAGGTACACCGCATTGAAGATACGACATCCGAGGAAGTGTTTAACGCCTGGTATCTTGGGGCCGATCATGTGGAGGAAGAAGACCGGGATGGCGAAGGTCAGACTCCAGATAAAGCGTAACTTCCATTCCATGACCTCTTTCATGCGGGTGAGAGATTGTAGCTGCGTAGCGTCCTGTTGATCGGATAGGATGGCATCGAAACCCATGTCTTCTATGTGCTGAACCATTTCGCGCGGCATGACAACGGACCGATCGAAGTTGACTGTGCACGTCTCCGTGGCCAGCGATACGGCAACCTTCGTGATGCCTGGTACGGCTGAGAGGCCTGCCTCAACGGTACTCGTACACGACGAGCAGGTCATGCCGTATATTCGCAGCTGCACGACATCCGCCCGTGCTGGTGGTATCAGGGTTGCATCGAAGCCGATATCGGATATTTCCTACGAGGCAATAATGCGATTTGAGTAGTCATCAACAGTGAAAGGAAACGACTGACGCTAATGAGCTTCACAACATCCCAATATTGAGGGTCATACTCGACGGACGCCCGCTCTGCGAGCAGGGCGACCTTGATAGAGTGAATGCCCTTCTGGTCTCTGAGCATCCCCTCGATGGACTGACGAGGCAATTTAGCCAGCCACCGAGGTCAACAAAAACAACGATGACGGACCTCAACGCAAGCCCCACAGGTCATCCCCTCTATTCTCAGCTCGCACTTTTCGGACAGCGGGGTGTCAATCGGTAATTCCTTCATCATGGGGTCGCCCATGAGCGGCTGACGTTGCGAGGACTCTGCCATCTGGTGTAGGGAGTTGATCGACCGGGGAGAAGACGGGGGAGCGGGGGAACTAGCCCATATATTGTTTAAGAAAGAGGTAGGCATCGTGATGTCGTGTCCTTGCCGGTGTGAACCAGGGCGGTGAGTGAGGGATAATGATGGTGTGTCAAACTGAAGGAACTCGGATTAGATGGATTAGTCAGTGGGAATTGAAGTGATTCCGCCCGGTGTGGTAAAGGTTCGGAAGGGTGGGAGGGTGTATGCGCCTGCGCGGAATAACTTGGGGTCAGAGGAGTAGCCCCCGGCGTTTTCTCGTCTTCAAATATAGCGACGTCGTCGACAGCGTGCAAGAGCCATTTACTGCGTCACACTTACATTTGTCACAGTCACACGACATCTCATTGTCCGCAGCGGCAACGGTTCCCCTTCTGAGCGCTCACACCGACACAACGCCACGGTGGTCCCAAGCTCTCTCGCGGTCTTTCGCTTTATACCGTCAGACGCATGCGTTCTGGGCATCTCGCCTGAGGTTGTTCAGTGGAAGTAACTTCCCCACTCAAGCGGACAGTTACCCGGCTCATCTAGATCCTCCGAACGCAGAAGTATTTTCACTGGCACTCGAGACGAAGCGTCCAAGCGGAGAAGCCAAGAGCCCAGTTGAAACCGGGAATAGAAGATATGCAAACCACCGACGCAGGTCGGTCTTCTTTTGGTGCTAACGCCCTGAAATCATGTCCCCAATCTGTGACGAGAAACCCCTGGGCCTAGAGGCTGCAACACCAGGCTTCACAACCCGATTGACCTCTGTAATATATGACAGGATCTTTTTGTGCTTCCCATCAGTAAGAATCTTCAAGTCTTTCGCACCTCTGACCTTGATAATGACTCTTCAATAGAATGGCCTCCAGAAGTTTATTTGTTGTTGCCGACGTCCATACACCGTTCCGAGTTTCCTACCTTGTTGATCCTAATCACAAGTCTTGTCTTTCTGGCATTCCTCCGAGTCGACATAGGCCGTCCCTACCTACAAGAAAGGCCAACGACCAAACCATGCAAGCATACAATATTCATGCTACACTTCACCCGCATTTATTGTCGATGACAAGCGCAGATCGGTCCAGTGCTTCCAGCGGCCTTGCGATGTTTTCTGTGAGAAGCGAATGGAGCGGTAAATTCTCCTCGAAGAGGACACCGGGGGCATTTACTTACATTTACACATAATCTCCAACTCCAGCTTCTGGCTACATAAAATCAAAATCTTCCCAGTCACTTGAGTCCGAGCCATGGTACACCTCTTTCCTCAATTTGACGTTCCGGAATTTGCGCAGTTGCTCTGCCTGTTCAGGATGGAATCGACAGACAGTTAGCCGTATCTCGTTGATGCGAGCGTCTTCACGACGTCGCATAAGCATATCTTTGAGCATAGCAAACGACGTGTTGTCATCCTTCCGGAAATTGACATGGATAGCTTCGAACTTGCGGAGACCTGGAAAACACAACCCATCGTTGAAAGGATTTTTCTCGACTAACGCTGGAAGGAATTTCTGGAGCTCCGCGTCCTGCATGATGACGATCTGGAGGCGCTGGAGCCGGCCGAACGTTGACGCCCAAGCGCTTGCGGGAATGTCCATTGGGCAGCCGAGGAACGCAAGGTACCCCAAATCATGCAGTGGGAGCCCAGAAAAGAGCTGCTGAAAAATCTCTTCGTCGCTGAAATCCTGATATAAGAGGTGCAGCGAAAAATCGCCGTCCCGTACGAACTTGGTCATTTTTGGAGAGCTAAAAGACCCCGCCACGAAAACCTCGCCATACTCGGCGTCGAATCGCAGATACAGACTCTGTAACGAGCTTCCTTTCATCCATCCGCAGGCGTCGTTGACGGAGTGTAAAAGTGTTGAAAGACTTGTTGCGTGTGTCACTGCACATTCTAGATTCAGTTTTCTGGGTGGATGCAAGGAGAGGGGACGCAAGATGGCCGACATAGGGAGGGCGGTGCACACAAATGCGTTCCTGGAAATGGGCATTGTGAGTAGCAAGTCATGGAGGAGTGGGAACTCTACGCGGCCGTGGTGTTGGCTGTCTGCGCTGCTGAGTCCGTTGTCACCCTCGCGCAGGCTTGGGCATCCCAGAACCGAAAATGATAGGTGAAGAACCTCTAATGTCGTCACATTATTCAATGTAACTAGGATTTGAACGGTCGAGGGGACCATCTGTCCTGTCCA